CTCTGCTCAGAGTCTGTCTCTTTCAAGTTCAAACTGAATTCTTTCTTCTTTAACTTCTGAATTCAAGCTGTAGTAGAGATATCTCTCTTCTATAACTTATTAATAAATTTTAAAAGTAGTTGAGTTGAAAGATTGTAGACTGTTTTATTCTTTATCAATTCAATGATTGTAAGATATAATACAAGAAGCTCATGATTTTCAGTGTCAGTTTTCTACAGAGATCTGAGTTTTCTTTCATCTTCTATACTGAGTTACACAGCTGTTTTACTGATATTATTTTCAAGCTTCAGAGAACTTTAACTCTCTGCAGTCAGCTTCTTCTATAGTGATAATAGAGATTCTTTTATAGAATTCTTCTTCATATTAACAATATTATAATTGAGCTGTTTAGATAGTATATCAGCAGGATTAAGTCAGTCTGAACAGTATCAGATATAGAAATTATACTCTGAAAGCAGCTCTGTTCATCTGACTTGATATTCTGTCAAGCTTTTTATTATCAAGAAATAATGCAGATTTATATAATCAGTGAGAACTTACACTGAGTACTTACTATTCTGAAGATAATATCACCAGATCTTAAAGAATTTAACAATTACTAATATCTTCTGATTATGAGTATTATATTTTCTCTGTATAAGTGATAACTTCTTGAAGAAAAAGATCACTGATCTTCATTCACAGTGTCTTATAAACTCTGTGAAAAAGTCTTCTCTTACAGATAATTTATTATCTGTATTCTTAGAGATAATTATTCTCTAATTCTTTTAACATTGAAAGATCTCTGATGTCAACTGTAAAAAGATTTCACAGACTTCATTCTCAGATATATCAGTCTCATACTGACTGAGTAAGTCAGAGTTAAAGTGATTCAGTATTATAATATCTATAAAAGCTTGTTTCAATTCTGTAAATATCTGTACAGTATCTTGAGTGAAAATAAATAATCTTATTTTTCTGTCTTTCACACTTCTCTTTAACAGATCTGTAAGAAGAACAGTAATCTATGAACATGTATAGATGAATTATCTGTAGAAATTCATAAATTCTAGAAATATCTGTATCTCACAGTATATTCACAGCACTGATCAGTTCTTAATAACAGAGACTCAGCTTCTGTTCATTGAAATGCTGTTTATTTTAATAATATAATCTAAGAAATCAATCTTCTGTATGTAGAATGAGTATTTTTCAGTATTTATATAGAGTTAATACTATCTCAAGTGACTCAATACTTTTTAAACATGAATATTATATTCTTTCTCTGATTTTAAGAAGATTAGAATATTATTCAGATATACTATACAGAAGATATTAACAAGATCTCACAGTGTCTCATTTATATAGATCTGAAAGATAACTGAAGTATTATAAAGATCAAAAGATAAAACAAGATATTTAAAATTACTGTACTTAGTATAAAAAGTCATTTTTTAAATATTATCTTTATTAACTCTGATTCTATGATAGATATTCTGTATATTAATCTTTGAGAATATCTTTACTTTAGATAATCAATCAATCATCTTATCAATTAACAGTAATAAATAGTAATTTTTAATTATTATCTTATTAAAATCTCTGTAGTCTATATATAGATGTAGTCTATCATTCTTCTTAAATATAAAGAGTATAGATGTTTCTGCTGAACTCTTTAATAAGTGTATTCAGTTCTTTAATTACACTTCTTTAAGATATTTATATAGAATATTTAATTTCTTTACAGACAAGTTGTAAAGAGATCTGTATAATACTATTACACTGTTTTTAAGATAAATCTTATATTATATCTTAATATCAGAAAACTTCACTACTTCTCTTTTCAAAAAGATATTCTTATAATCTGTAAAGAGATATTGTATATATCTATCTTTAATAATGAATACTGTTACTAATCTTATAGTAAGAGTAATAGCTTCTTTATCTATTTCTAAGTCTTAATTATCTACTATACAGAATATTAACTCTATCTTTTTCTCAAGATTCTTTTAATAAAACTCTTCAGATTTCTCTATTACTATCTCTTCATTAATAAGATAGTACTGTTATATCTGAATAACTCAGTTAATAAGAGAATTATTTTCTCTTAATTATAAGAGATCTAGAATAATATTCTTATCTATAATATTAACTGTGTAAAGAAGCAGATCACTCTTCTTGAAGATTTCTTCTGAGTCTGTGATTATATACTTCACTTGAATTATATTAAAATAGTGATATTTTATTTCATTAGTAAATTTCATATAATCTGACAGATCTATCTTCTTTTAACTCTTTATTAAAGAAAAGAAATAGAATATGAAGTTAGTATTCACTCTGAAGTTAAGTAAATATCTTACTGATATCTTCTTATTCAGAGTATATATTATAATTATAATATAAACTTAGAGATATAAGAATTATCAATTCTTCATTTCTTTCTCTTCTTTATCTTTCATAGATATATTTGTCAGAAGAGAAGTTAACTTTAAGAAGATATTTTCTCAGTTTCTTCTCTTCTTTAACTTCTTATAATTACTGATATAGTAATTATCAGCTCTACAGTTAAAATAGAGATCTTTATCAAATCTTTTTTAATATTTCTTTATAGTAAGTAAAGAATTAGAATACTTGAAATTCTTCTTTACTTTCTTTATACTGAAGTCATTATAGCACTGTTTAAATTCTATTATTAATTACTTAGAAGAAGTCTTATTAGTCTTTTTCTCAGAGAATTGATTATTTAAATAGATTCAGAAAGTCAGATTAACAAGCTTAGTATAATTAATTCATAAACTCTGATATTATAATATTATTATTCATATCTTATAAGTCAGCTTTATAAGATAAAGCTGTGTTTTTAATTAATTCAAATCATTAGTTAATTTCTCTTAATATTCTTCAAATCTTATATTGAAATTAGAAGAATTCTTATTATCTTATTAATATAATAAGTTAAACTACTGTATTACTATAAAGCTGCAGTTACAGTAATCTTTAATTTAATTCAGTAGAAAGTTCTTGAATTCTTCTTAAGTTATAATAGTATTAATATACTTAAGTTTTCTCTTCTTAATAATTTAAGTAATTGCAGAGATATCTTTAAGAAGATTGATAGTGTATATTACTTATATCTCATAAGTATTATACTGACTCAGATTAAGGTGAAATTTTCATTTAAGAATATAAGTAAAGCTGTGAAATTCAGATAAAATATTTCTCTTATATCTCAGAGAATCTCTGATCTTAATCTCTCTATCTTTATAATAGATATAGATATATAAAGACTGTGACAGTGATAGAGCAGTTAAAGAGCTTATATTAAAATATACAGTAGATTCAGAAATCTCAGATTTCTGCTGAGATAGAGATGTACATACTCTAGAGAATAATATAATATTTCTCTCAGAGAATAAGATCAGATCAGTCTCAGTATAGATATATAAAATTATATTAATCTATTAGAGCTTGACTGATTCAAACTTATAATCAGATTAAGTGATTTAAATTGTAATATAATGAAACTGAAGTAGTAACTAGTTAGTAATATTATATAAAAGTAGTTATTTAAGAAGCTATATAAGTGAGCTTGACTATTTTACTTAAATAGTGAGCTTATAGACTACAGAGTTATTATGAGAATATCACAGATATAATACTTAGTATACTAAGAAGATTATATGAGATATATAGTAACTTCTATATATATTTCAGTAGAAGAAAAAACAAATTACTAACTTTTTTAATAAGAAGTCAGTATTTAGTTATTCTATATAAATAATAAGCAGATACTTTTCTCTTATTTCATAAGTAAGAATAGCTGAAGTAATATCTCAGCAGTGTCTCATTGTTAAGAAAGAGTAATCTGCTGACCTCATATAGAAGTGAGGTTCTCATATTCATCAATCAGATCTTCCTATGATATATCTGAATGATGTCATAGGGTGGTTGGAAACCGGTTCAGACGGGATGGAATCATCCGCATGGAAGCGATGGGCCGTGTGGAACCGCAACGGGGCCTTGGCGCGGCCGGGAGCGTGACAAGATGTATTGAGCGAGGTCAGATAGTGGCACGGGCCACATTTGCGAGGTCAGCTTACATAATGAGGTCAAGTGGCGCACTTAGCGAGGTCAAGTTTTCTGCTTGTCTCAACTCCACAAGTTAACTTATAAAGTTAACTTACATAAGCCAGAGTGAAGCCTGCGGAAGAGGGGACGCATTTCCAATTATTATTAATTAATTGGTCTGCGGTCCGGGAATGGCGCCAGCCACGACGAACTGCCGAAACTCTTCCTTCCGTTGAGCGCCCGTCCCCTTGCCTTGTGGCTTCAGGTGGCCATGAAGGGCCTTACCGAAACACAATAATAATAATAATAATAATTCTGCTCTCGCCAAAAGTATGAGCGGTGGCAGAGCCTATTAATAATATTATGGACGGATTACTCACGGTGTGAGCAACAGAGGAGGGCTTGCTCGCCGCCAAGCGATCTTCAATCCTCAAACCATTCTCTAAAGAAAACCCTTTGCACGTAAAAAGGAGGATGTCGATGGATGTTCTTTTATATGCCCCCGGTAGGTAGCACTCCTCCGATGAGCAACTTCCAATTGGGGCCAGGAACATTTGTCAATTGAACCGTCTTCATGTGAGAGTAGCAAAGGTAAACCTGGCAAGGGAAAAAAGAAGTCAGGGAAGAAAGCAGGGGGAAAGAAAATCAGCCAATCTTAGTAGGAAATATTTTTCGCAGGCATAACTAGTTACGCTAATGAACGGCTGCTGCAGAAGTTCGTCCCCACCCCAGGGAGGACCAGCCAAAGCCCCGGGGGACGAGCTAATTCTGCAATTATTCTGACAACGCGCAAATATATATATATATATATATCGCAGTGTGCACTAAGAATGCGTTTCAACCTGGAGGCCCTGATTCAATTCCGATAATGGAGTTGTCATGACCCCAGACACCCGAAACAGCTAATTACAAAGTGTATGCGGGTAAAACGACAGGCCTGTGATTCCCCGTGCTTTACAGAGTACATCTCCATAAAATAGATCCCGCCGTTCACTATCTGGAAGCAATGGCAGGGTTGAAGGAGCTCACGGACTTGAGCAGGCTGCAACTCGCTGGACTGCTTGTTGTGACCGTCGTTACTATTCCCCCATCAGTGACATTACAGGACCGTTTGGGGCCAGTTTCACTCGGCTGCATACCCATCGCATCCTCAAGGGAGACCAAAATCTGGAACTCATTCGGTTACACGGTGAACATGGTATGTGTTCTTCGACTTTCTTGTAGCTGTCATGAGCCAACGTCTAACCGAACTGACACCAAAACAGGATACTTTGTTCGTGTGGCTCACAATGAGGTCAGCGTCAGTCATTCCTGATGCCATTCGCAAAATCCTAGGAGCAACGCTTCACAAGGACAAATGGTACAAGATAATAGCCTTCCCAGATGGCCGTTTCGAGAACCCCATGTCCGCGACGGACCCCAGAGTGAAGATGGAGTTGTCCAAGCACCTTGCGCCTGCCTATACTCTCTCCAACCTACTGGTAAATGAGAGGAACATCAGCGAAACCATCGAGCTCCTGCTGGGATGGCTGAACAAGTTTGCTTCTTCTGGCGACCCAATCGACCTGGGTAAATATTTCACCCTCGCCCCTTCAGACATTGTAGGCGACGCTGTCTTCTCCAAGCAATTCGGTTTCTTGCGCGAAGGCCTCGATATTAACAACAGCATCGCCAACGTTTCGCCGTAGGCCGCTTACGTTTCCGTCGCTGGCTACTTCCGCTGGCTCCACGTTCTATTTCTCAGTAATCCAGTCATCACCTGGCTAAATATTACGCCGTGGGGCCACCTCATTGACACAGCAATGTCGGCTATCAAGGAGCGTCAGAAGAACCAAGATGCCCGCGTAGATGCCGTCGCTCACTGGTTCCGAATGCTCCATCAGCATCCCAACCGTATGCAGCTGCACGAGATCCACAGCGCCGCCTTCAACGCTGTCGCAGCAGGCAACGAAACCGTCGCCTCTGGGCTGCAAGCGTTCGTGTACTATGTGATTCGTCACCCAAACGCTTGGGGGCGTACGAGAGCCGAAATCGAGACCGCTGGCCTTGAAGGCCCTGTGATCGGTTACATGGACGCACAGAAATTGCCGTTTTTGCAAGCGTGTATTAAAGAAACGCTTCGGGTATTCGGACCGGCGCCTATAGTGCTGCCGCGCATTGTGCCCGAGGGCGTCCTGACAATTGGTGACCGGACTATCCCACAAGGTACCATTGTGTCTATGAACATCTGGGGTATGCATTACCTTTGGGCCCCAAGTGCTGGCGAATTCAACCTAGATAGGTGGCTAGGTGAGGATGCAGCGCATCTCTCAAAATATTATATTCCCGTAAGTAATCATTATCCCATCCGGTATCCACGAACAGAAAAATGAACCGGATAATTTCCCCAACTAACACATGTCGCTTATGCAAAACAGTGGGGGATGGGCTATGCTTCCTGTCCCAGGCAGAACCTTGCGCGAATCGAGCTGTACAAAATTTGTGCAACGCTTGTGCAAGACTAAACATCCGGCAAGTTGACCTGAAGCAAGAATGGACTTGGAAGGCTTTCTTCACTGTGGTTCCGCATAACTCGCCGTGCTATGTCGAGAGGCGGACTAAGAAAACCACTTCCTAGGTGCAATACATGTCAGCAGGGATGCCTGGATGCCCAATTCTCCACACTTCTGCATTTATGATAAACGTTCACACTTTTCCTACTTCTGTTAGGACACTCCTCAGGTCCCATTTCTTTCTCTCCTACTCTCTCTCACGGACACGACCTTACCAACGTATAGCCTTGATCAACTATCTCCAATGCACTAGTAGTTAGTATAATATATACCACATAGTTTATGTATTCAATTGAATTACCCTCGTAATACATTTGATCAACCCTAGACAGAATTCCAGAGAGGTAGATAGAACATTCCTCTATTAAGTGCATTATTCTTAGCAGGATTCATGTTACTTCGCAACAGGAGGTCTTCGTTGCCATTTCCGGCTATTCATGGCGGTTCCAGCCACGTTTGGGTCATACGTCATCCCACGTGACTTTCTCAAGGTTCAACCGCGATATAAAATTTAGAGCTTCACATTATTCGGGGAGACAGGAGACAATAACGAGTGGGGAAAACAAATAGCCTTCCATTTTTAGCTAACATTTTGTCACATTTTGTAGAAGTTCAGTCGCTCCTTGCGGGGTGTTAAAAAAAGTTCATATTGCTGAAAACAATGTCTTCCCTTCCTTACACATCCCAACGTCTATATTTCGACGGGAAAGTCCAGCAGTCCAGCTCTGGCAAGCGATTCCAGTCGATTGACCCCTCCAACGCTTCGGTTCTCGCAGATATTGAAGTTTCGTCGAATAGAGACGTCGATGCGGCCATTGATTCGGCCCGGAGAGCTTTCCCTGCCTGGTCCCAGACTCCGCCTGCCGTGAGAACCAGAGTCCTCCTGCGGGCTGCCCAAATACTTCGGGCTCGAAACGATGAGATCGCCAAGATCGAGACACAAGATACGGGGAAGCCGTTCTCGGAGACGAGCACGGTAGACATCGTTACTGGGGCAGATGTGCTTGAATACTTTGCAAACCTGGTGGGCGGAGGAGGATTGAATGGTGAAACCATCCAGCTACGGGACGATGCCTGGGTATACACGAAGAAAGAAGCCTTGGGCGTGTGTGCCGGTATTGGAGCGTGGAATTATCCCATTCAAATGTAAGCAGAAAAAAAGAGAAAAAACAAGCAGCTGTAAATATATCCAACATATTCAACATATTCTAATTTACCATTCTTTCTCGGTCGCTGTTTCCAGTGCTCTATGGAAATCCGGACCCTGTCTAGCTGCTGGGAACACCATGGTCTATAAACCTAGCGAGTTCACACCTCTTCATGGCCTAATCCTTGCACAAATATACACAGAAGCTGGCCTGCCTCCCGGAGTCTTCAATGTCGTCTACGGCGCCGGGGATGTGGGTGCATACCTTACCGCCCACCCCTCCATCGCCAAAGTTTCCTTCACCGGCCAAGTGTCCACGGGGAAAAAAGTCGCCGGCTCCGCCGCCGGTAACATGAAATATGTAACGATGGAACTAGGCGGCAAAAGCCCGCTAATCATCCTTCCAGACGCGGACATTGATAACGCCGTCGACGGCGCCATGATGGCCAACTTCTTCAGTACAGGTCAGGTATGCACAAATGGAACCCGCGTCTTCGTTCCCAAAAGCATCAAGTCCGCCTTTGAAAATCGCCTACTAGAAAAAATGAAGTATGTCCGTGCTGGAGCACTCATGGACCTCAACACCAACTTTGGGCCTCTCGTCTCGGGCCCCCATTTCGAGAAAGTCATGAGCTACATCCGCCATGGCATTGAGCAGGATAAAGCCAAGCTCCTATACGGCGGTCTGGAGCAGCCCCGTGTCCCTGAAGATTTGCGACAAGGTTACTGGGTAGCGCCCACGATCTTCACAGACTGCACGGATGACATGAAGATTGTTCAGGAAGAGATTTTCGGCCCAGTGATGTCGATCCTTACGTACGATACGGTTGAGGAGGCTGTAAGGAGGGCCAACGACACGCCACTGGGCCTGGCGGCTGGCGTCTTTTCACAGAATCTCAATATGGCGCATAGAGTGATTGCGCAGCTAGAGGCAGGGATTACATGGATTAACTCGTGGGGAGAAAGCCCGGCAGAGATGAGTGTTGGCGGCTGGAAACAGAGCGGTGTTGGAGTTGAAAATGGGCGGCGAGGGATTGAGGCATGGGTGAAGAATAAGAGTACGCTTGTTGACATGAGCGGTGGGGTTGCGACCGCATTTACGAAATTGTGAGTGTAGTGTAGGCGCATTTGGCACTGAAACTCTAAATTGAGTATTAACAAACGTGCTTCTTGGTATTCTAAATTCTAAATATATGTAGATATAAAATAAAATTAAATAATTCGAAACACGCCTAAACAAAAGCACACCTTCTCCCTCTCTTAATCTGTAGACGCTGGGATTTTGCCGAGTAACTACTTGATTCTGATCTTGTGTACTTGAAACTAGTAAATTTATAGATACATGAAAATATTTTTTTAGGTTGATAAACACAGAAGACCAATGGCAAGCAACATAGTCATACATACTATAAATGCATATAGAATGGAGGAGGAAATGTAAGTATTCGAAAAGGGGACTTGACCAAAGGGGGAGGGCGCATTCCGCAGGAAAGAAGGGAAAAGGAAAATATAGAGGAAAAGAAGACAAGAGGAAAAGACCCGGAAAATGAGGATATTTAGAGAGGCGAAATAGAAAAATAATAACATGCACGAAGCTGTGCAAAGAAAGAAAACATAAGTGGGTACTGAACTGGGAATTTTTTTTTTTTTTTTTTTTTTTTTTTTTTTTTTTTGGCAATGAAACAAGATGTCCTCTCTCAAGTGAAGAAATGAAAAATATAAAGGATTCCAAATGACGGCATTATTGAGCAGATATTCCTTGAAGAGCACTTCATGTCGATATTGAGGTTGGTTGGTTTGAAGCTCCCTGTCAATAGGGGAGGGAGATCTTTTCCAATGGTTTGCGTAAAATAGCCTCCCCACCACCGCCACTTATACTTCATCAATTCTCGACCCCATCCGATCAAAAACCAAATCCGCCGCAATCATCGTCTCATCAAGTCCTGCGATTGAAGAATCTTTAAGGCGAGATGACATGCTGTCTGGAGTCAGCTCGTCCAACTCCTCTTCCCCGCCACCATTCGCAGTTCGTGGGTGGAAGCCGGATGTGTCGATTGTGAGCTTGCTGTCCTTCACGGGCGTTGCGCCATCGTTTGCACCGGGGGAGAGAGGCGGAGTAATGACTGGTGGCCTATATTGTTTTGTGCGATGGACCAATGGGGGACCCTGAGTCCGCGCATCGGTGCCGGCTTGCTCAATGCTGACGAAATACTGGAAAAAAGGGAGATGTCAAAAATTAGAAATGATGTTCATCAAGAGGCGCATTGGAAATGTGTATGACATACCTTGACAGTCTTCACCTTCAACTCCAACGTCGCATCCTCATCTGCAACAATGAGAGGATGTGGATGTAGCTGGAGCGCGGACAGCGTCCACATGTGATTGACGCCGCTCTCCAGGCCCATTTGCAACGCGGTAGCCTTATGCGCGCCTGTCGCGACAATCACCACCTCCCGCGCATCCAAGATCGTTTGGATACCCACTGTCATCGACTGGCGCGGCACTTTGGACATATCGTTGTCGAAAAAGCGCGAGTTGGCCAGAATAGTGTCATAGGCGAGTGTCTTGACACGCGTGCGCGAGCGGAGACTGCTACCCGGTTCGTTGAAAGCAATGTGCCCGTCCGCGCCAACGCCACCGAGGAATAGATCTATGCCGCCCACCTCTAGGATTTTAGCTTCATAGTCCGCGCATTCTTTTATCGGGTCGGCGGCATTGCCGTTTAGAATGTTTATGTTTTTTGGCAGGATGTCGACGTGCGAGAAGAAGTGTTTGTACATGAAGCTGTGGTAGCTTTGGGGGTGATCGCGGGGAAGCCCGACATACTCGTCCTGTGGGTAGAAAAGAAATGTTAACGACCATTTTTCCCGCGGTTTCTCTGCCGTTTCTTTCTTGATAGCTGGAGGATATTTGGCATGATAGGTCCTTTCTCCGAGTCCTTCCAGACTACTTTAGGCAACGGCAGCGGATGAGGTTTTATCTACCATGTTGAAAGTGATGACATGTCTGAAGGATATGTCGCCAGCTTTATATCGCTGGACTAGAATACGATAAACGGTCTGTGGGCTACTTCCGGTTGGTAAGCCCAGGACGAAGGGCTTATCTTCTGAGGGAGCGAATTGCTTGATACGGCCTACATGACGAGACAACACATGCACCAGTTAAAAAAGCGCTCTATGGGTCATGGAGTGAGAATGGGATGGAGGAGACGTCAACTGCAACGGGAATGAAGGATAGAGCAATGTATATTCTCTCGGTGTTCCTCACAGCAGACACCCTTTTTCAAAGGATCTGGCAAGGATGGCATATGGAGAGATAAAAAGGGCCAAAAGCAAGAGGGGCAATCGTATGCATGCATAGGACATACTGATGATATAGTCCGCAATGTATTCAGAGACTCTCTGCGGATCTTTTCTAATAATTACCCGCCTTTTGCTGGTATGTTAGCTAAGATATATCTTGGAAGAGTCGTAAGAGCAAAGGGCAGAAGCGCAGGGGTGTTTTCTTACATTATTATGCTTGATGTGGTTGATATGTCAGATATAGAGATAGATGGGTAATAGGTATGAGGATTTGAGTTTCAACAAATCGTCATCCAGATAGTTGGAGTAGAGGAGGAGCAACTGGTAGCAACAAAGGTAGATGATATATTTTAGTACCAGCCAGCAGGAGTGAGTCTATATTCACTCGTTTTAATAATAATAAAGGAGCGAATTAGCAGGAGATTGAAGAACGAGGGAACAAAGCAAACTAGATAGATCCTCGTAATTTCAAAGTTGTCTTAATAACCACTTTTTGCCCTCGCTCAACGCTGCTAGGTGGGCATCATCATCCATCCCGACATCATAACTTTGGGAGAGGTTAACCCTATCAGACCCACGCAACCTAGATGGTGCATTCCTCAAGCACGATTCATTCATAAGCTACTGGCTACTGGACAGAACAGCCAGAGAGGCGCCAAAGGCTCAAAATGACATCCCTCATCAAAAAATCGCATGCATGGCTGTTGCAACAGAAGGAGTAACATTAGGAGGTGACATAGCAAAACCTGTCTCCTCCATCACTAACAGCTATGTCCCCATTTATTTAAAGGAATCCACTGCGCAATCGAGTGATTTTATCATGGATCCCTCTCCGCCATACCGAAGATAATTCACCTTGTGCATGAGATGTTGAGCGATCATTTGCCATGTCAGTTTTTGCGCATTCATTTGCCCATTCTTCTGAAACCAAATGCCTTAACTTTGCCTCCAACTTCGGGCTTCCCGTTGGTTAGAAGAAAATAGGTAAATAAATGGGGGGGGGGGGGGGGGGCCTGCCCCTCCCGGGAAAGGGCAAAAACCCCGTGAAATTTCGGAGTTTTTTTGAATTGGCCCCCAAAGGGCCGCTCCTTTCAGGGGGGTTTGAAATGTAAGGGTGGGGGGGGAAAAAGAAAAAAAAACCAGGGTAATCCCCCTGGCTCCTTGGGATTGGTTCCAAGGCTTTTGGTTTTTTTTCCCTTCCCAAAAAGTCTTAATATTTCCCGGGGGGGAAAAATGGGGGGGACTACGGGGGGGGCATGCCTCTCGGAGATGGTCAGATACCCGGCGAAATCCTGCAGTTTTTAGCATTGGCCCCAACAGGTCCGTCCATCTCAGGCTGGCTTGAATGTAACGGTTGTAGTGGATAATGAATAAAATCAAGGTTATTCAGCCTTGGCCTTGGGGATGGTCTCAGGCTTCTGTTTTTTTGCCCTTCCAAAACGTTCATCAACTTCCCGGGTGATATATGCTGACTCAACCAGCCAGAAGCTTCTCTCTTGTTTTCTTACTGTGCTCCAGAAGTTCATATTTATTAATGGTGAAAAAGGCTCCGGGGTTTCCAAGGTTGGTTCCAAAGGTCAGACAGAGATTTCTCTGCCGTTTCCGGGAAAGCTCAACGGGATGCATCCGTGCTTGGGGATCGGTTCCAAGGTTTAAATGTAGGCAGGGCCGCCGCAGGGCCGCAGGGGGTGCCTGGTTCGCCCCCACAGAGCAGTATTTGTACATGTACTACTCTACTCCGTACAGAGTATATAACTACACATACGGAGTACTGTACTTAGTACTACTGCACATACATACCACAGCGTAGTAGTTTGCCCTATGGAATGGATCTGGGGAGCTGAACCCTTCGTGGGGGTGCAACGATTATGCAAGTTCGATCGGCACCTCAAGATACTGACTGACTTGGATTAAGTTCCCAAGACTCTAGCTGTCGTTGTGGCTTCTCGGATAGGGGAATTATTCGGGCGGCATATTTACGCCGTAGCTCTCCCCCCCTCCCTCCGGTGTGTGTGTGATAGAATAATCGCTGTCCCGAGGTCCGTAGTTAGGCGCTGGCGGCTTCTCAATTTCTCTGGGCGCGGCTACTCCCCCCAACCCGGTACGCACGCGTTAAGCGTCCTCCCCTTCTCCCCTAAGATGTTCCTCCGCAACCGGCGATTCGGCGAACAGCTCCATCCAACTGGAAGCGCTAAATATTACGTGCTTCCTCCCGCTCGCTTGAGAATCGAGATCAGGCTTGTTCCCAGGCTTTGGTTGACTAAGCCACGGATGGAATTAGCTGAGGCTCTCCAAGACCTGCTTAAGCCCGATCGGTCACGGCAAGCTCTGGATTAGACCCCGTCCGCGCCACCACGCTGCGCTGCCAACTGCTACTCAACTGAACTGTGCTGCGACTCAGCGCCGATGACTGTGACCGTAACAGCAGCTTTTTTTTTCATAACCTCTGGTTCTCTCCGCCGTTGCTTCTCGACTAACGCGACTGAGCTGTCATCTGCTGGTGTTAGCTGACCCCGTCCTGAACCCAGCCGCCCGATTCGTATCGGCATCGCGACCAGCTCGCTGTTGCTCGGCAAAAATACTCGACCGTCACGTCACGGGTGTACCCTCAAACCTCCGCGAGCTCGTAACGTGTTGCCGGGCGATTAACCGGTTATTCTTACTGAGTTGGGCTTTGTTAGGGGGAGAGGAAGGGTGTTAGCAAGATATCGTGGGCTCCGTGCGTTGCCCATGGATTCCGTGGACGCCTTGGATACCGAGCTCTCCCCCGAGTGGGAGAGCTTCGACAGGTAAGGCAATGTGTTTCTGTCGCTGGTGCCCCCCCACATGTTTCTTCTGCCTTTCTCATAGCACAATAGCCCTCCACCCTGCTGTATGCAAAACGATTGATTGATTGATTGATTGTTGCTTGATGTATGTAGATATCATGCATACATGATGGAGCTCAGGGAGAGCTATGCCTACCCTCCTGCCCTTCCCACATGTAACCCTTGCAATTCAACGGGGAGACCTGTTAGGGTAAAATCTCACTCTGCCCATAGCTCATCTGCAACCCGTCTGACGTTTTTTCTTTTTTTTTTTTCGGTTTCTGCCCCTGAACATCCTCTCTAATTTTAACTCTCTGTTACGGTGCATCATACCTTGAAATGAAGACAACGTGCTTGAACTAACGGGATACTTCGCTACAATGCGTTACTTCGATTATAGGCAGATGGGCCAGCTCTTTCTCATGGGCTTCGATGGAACTGGTGTCAATTCGGAAATACGCACGTTGATAGAGGACTATCATCTAGGCTCTATCATATTGACCGCTAAGAACCTGAAATGTGTAGACCCTTTTCCCTTCCATTTTTCTTTATTTTCAACTACCATTTCTATTCTTCCATTGCCATGCACTTGACTCTTCCTCCCATCTTGATCTCGACTTGCGTGTGGGGAGGAGATCAACGTAGTTGGTCGCCGTCTTCCCCATCCACTTAGAGTTGGAGGAAGCTTGCAAAAACTTCACATAATTTAAACGACATCAGAGGCTGATGTGTCAATATAGCGGCGGAAGAAACCACCAAGCTCGTCTATGAACTTCAATCCATCGCCCGGAATGCTGGCCATCCGGTCCCCTTGATGATCTGTCTCGACCAGGAAAATGGTGGCGTTAACAGTCTATTCGATGAGATATATATACGCCAATTCCCCAGCTCCATGGGGATGGCCGCGACAGGTTCGAAATCCCTAGTTAGAGAAGTCTCAAAGGCCACTGCCCAAGAACTGAGCGCCGTTGGCGTCAACTGGATCCTGGGCCCTGTACTAGATGCATTAACGAACGCTAGAAACCAGCCCCTTGGCGTCCGAAGCGTGGGGGATGATCCACAAGAGGTGTCTGCGTATGGCATCGAGTTTATGAAGGGCTATCAAGATGCAGGCTTGGTGACTTGTGGCAAGCATTTCCCCTCATATGGTAATCTAGACTATATGGGTTCCCAGTCTGATGTTCCCATCATCACCGATACGATCGAGCAACTTAGTGTGAGCGCACTGGTTCCTTATCGGAATGCAATAACGCATGGCATAGATTCAATGATGGTAGGAGGATGTTCCATGACAGCAGGTGGAATGACTGTCATGCACGCTTGTTTATCGGAACAGGTCGTTGACGAACTCTTGCGGAAAGACCTAAAATTCGAGGGTGTGGTCGTTTCAGAATGCCTTGAGATGGGAGCACTCAGTCACAACATAGGTGTTGGCGGTGGCACGGTGATGGCCATGAAAGCTGGCTGTGACCTAATCCTGCTCTGTCGAACCTTCTCCGTGCAGCAGGAAGCAATTAATGGATTGAAGCTGGGAGTAGAAAACGGCATCATTAGTAAAAGCCGCATACGTGAGTCACTACGAAGAGTTCTAGATATGAAATCGAGATGCACTTCGTGGGAAAAGGCTTTGAATCCACAAGGACTTAGCCTTTTATCGAAAATGCAGCCGTCCCATACCAGCCTATCGACCAAAGCGTATAGCAGCTCGCTCACCGTTGTTAGAGACAAGCACAATTATCTTCCCTTAAGTAGCATTCTCGAACCAGACGAAGAACTTCTGCTCCTCACACCACTGATAAAGCCTCTACCAGCATCAGCAATGCTACTGTCAGTGGCTACTGAATCGGGTCGTGCAGGTTTATCAGCGGATGCCGCTTCGTGGGAGCGCAGTGCGTCTGTTATGAGCGGCGAGAGTGTTTTCAAAGAGTTTGGACGATCATTATCTCGACAAAGGAACGGGCGTGTTTTGCATACCTCCTACACAGCCAACGGCGTCCGACCGGTCCACGAAAATTTAATCAATCGCGCGAGCGCTGTCATTATTGTTACCGCTGACGCCAACAGAAATTTGTACCAAATGGGATTCACGAAGCACGTTTCACTAATGTGCAATTCCCAATTTTCTCCTAACGGCGAGCGTCGCGCGAAACCCGTAATCGTTGTAGCTGTCAGCTCACCATATGATTTCGCCACGGATCTATCAATAGGGACATATATCTGCACCTATGATTTTACTGAAACAGCATTACAGGCCCTAGTAAAGATCCTTTACGGAGAACTGAATCCCACCGGCTCGCTCCCTGGCTCACTCAGCCGCAACCAGAGACTCCAACAATCAAGGCAACACTGGTTAGTGGAGAACTGGAATGAGGATCGGGATGCACATGCCTTGGATACTCTCCTAGATATTGTCCGAGAAGGTAGTGCCCAGGGCCAAAGATCTGAACTTGCCAGCGTCACCTCCACCACCTTCCTTCTTCGCAATAGTGACGTGGAAGAGTCACACTTCGTCGTTAGAAATAGCAGTACACAAGCACTCTATGGATTCTGCTCAACATATTACTTCAAATCCACAGGAACGGGCGCTGTCGGCGCAATCATTGTCGACCCTTCTCGCCGAAGAATGTCCATCGGCCATTCACTTCATAACCGCGCAATTCGGACACTGGTTCAACGTCCAGGTATCCGTAGCTTCCAGCTTGGCTCCCGTTTGCCAGGCATTTATCTCGGAATCCCTAAGGGAAATCCCACAGAGCGCAAGAAGCTTCGGTCGTGGTTTGTTAATCTGGGATGGAACACGGCCCTATCGCGTTCCGTATGCAGCATGGTCTTACGAAATCTCGAAAACTGGTCGCCGCCAGAAGGACTGACGAAAGTTTTGCAGAGCTCAGAGGTTGATTACGATCTTGTTTATGGGTGGGAATACGCGGACTCTGTTCTTGATCATGTTAAAACTACATCGCGCGTGGGGGTCATGGAGATATATAAAAGGGGACTGGGCGGTGCGCCCGGTAGTGGTATTATTCGCGCTAAACGCCGCGATGATGGGACTATACTAGGCACTGTGGTAGTGTATAATTCCTCGTCCGCGCTAGCGGAATCTATGCCTGCGCTTAAGGACACGCGCACAGTTGCGGGGGGGATTTCTTGCCCGGTGATCTCTCCCTCCGTAGGGGAGTATGCCACGCTTGTGCAGGGATTGATCTTGTTGGGAATCAAGCAAATTCGGAAGCAGGGGGCTAGTGCAGCTATATTAGATTGTGTACGTGCAACTACCCTTCTCTTTCTCTTCCTCCTGCTCCCTCATCTTCGTCTCCATTTGTTATACACCCCGACTACCCCATGCAAGGTAGCACCACGTGGAGATCCGGTGCTAGCCCCTTACGGGCTACGGGCTGGTTTAAATGTGAAGAAAAGAAAAGACACATTATTGTCCCGAAAATTTAGTACCAGGCTAACGAAACTCTTCTTCATACAACAATAGGTCGATGCTGACGGAAACTATGACAGTCTCTCTTCCATGGGGTTTTCCGTTCTGCATAGTTTCGAGGAAGTCACTTGCGATGCCTCCACCTGGAATATCATGGTTACTTCATGAAATTCATGAACTGCATGACATGACGAGTTTTATCTTCACGACACTGGTTCGATCCTCTTGATGCCTGATTTGGGCTCATCGTAATGACCTCTGGACCACAATTTCAATCGTCTTCTTCTTGTCCCTCTTCTTCATTTTTCATTTTGTATTTTCCTTTCTTTACTTCTCCCGTCCCTTTGACTGCTGAAAATTTGATTTTTCCAAGAATTTTCACGGCTGTATCGATATTATACATTAACGCATGGTCCCATGGCCTTAGCTTCACTAGCCCTTCTCACTCAGTAGAGTGGAGTAGAGCAGAGCAGGGCAGACACTATCCCATCATGACTTTGTGCAGCAAAACTCTTCGCCCTGCGAGATGAGATGCTATTCAGTATCAAATCCAGTAGCATTTTTCAGGATAATGGACATATCCTTTGTTTCATCTTTTGTCTATAACCCTCTCAATACCCTGGGATATTTCACTTTAATTCGGCCCCTTAGCCCTTGTCACTTATCACTTATTGTTCCCAGTACATTAATTCTGTCTTAGTGCTTTCTCTTCCTACCAGTTTCTCAGGGGTGAATATTACTTTGTTTCTCCCTTGTCTTCACTCTTGTTAGCTCCCACGTCATCACCGCACCCTGATTTTCCATTGTTCAACATGGCCACATCTCTCGTTATTGTTTTATTTCAAAGGGTTTCAAGGGTTCCCTTCTGTGTTATATAGAGGGACTTTGGGGTTAGCATCTAGGATTTTCTTTTTCTTTTTGTTTTTTGCTTTTTTTCTTAAAATACTTTTTCTTCTTTTTCCCTTTATTTTCATATACTGTATATACCCTGTTGAGATTGGCTTTACAAGAATCATATATATTGATTTGCAATGTTTGTTTCTGTGTGTCGGTAAAGGCGGCAATGAATATGACTTTCAAAATACATATATAACTATATTTGTATTATTACACTCATAAGTTTACACCATGTCTCCAGAGATACACAATTACCAAAAAAAATTAACAAATTTATATTATCAATTTCCTATATGCTTAGAGCATGTACGGGTAGTATTGTCCAATGATGTTACATACACGCTTGTTGGATTACGTTAGTTAACTTAGTTGCTTAATCAGCATCCCGACCTCATCCAGTTCAGGCAACTCTGACAACAGCGTTTGACACGAAAGCTTGACTCTTAACGGTATGGCGGACGGAGTTGAAAGCGAAGTCCAGCGCGCATTTATTGTTGGCTATGCTACATGAGGCGTCGTTCTGACGTGTCTTCGGGTCGCCTCAAAAGACACTTCCTTCATCAGCAGCGTTACTACATCCAATGACCCGCGCCGAAGAAATAATAGGTTCCATCGCTGCTGGCGGCCGCCGGCTATCCCATCCCATCCCTGCGAACACAACATGGGTCCTCAAACCGAGCTACGATCTCCCGACGATTTGAACATGGATGGAAAACCCTGTTAGCGTCCACTTCCATGGACGTCATCTAGTAAAATTGGGGTCAATTGGGCGCAGTTGAACCACTAAAAATTTACCGGCGGCTACCCCACGATCAAGATTGCTGCCGCTCTGACTACGTGGTACTTGTCCTTTATTGTGTCTGCCGTCCAGATGGGTGGGAAATACGCGTTGTCAATGTCTGACTCACCGCTGCCTGGAACGGGTTTATTGGCTGTTCATGCCTATATGCGTTTCGGGAGGGTAGATGGATGCCAACTTAAAACCACTTTCATCGTTGTACCGACCAAATTCTCAACTATCTCATTGACGCTGCACGAGGGGATAAGATAAATTTGAAACATGTTCGGAAGGAAAATAGGGAAACCAAAAGCAGCCATGCTTTTCCCCAGAGGCTGGGAATCATATTTCAGGAGCCCACTATCTATTAGTTACCCGTCAATGGTAACCTTTGTCATCGGTGCAAATATTTTTTACAAAGCACTCGCTCCTATCTACCGAAGAAGGGAAGCCTTTTGTGCTTTGCTTCACACATCATCCGATAAGCCTACCATATGCAACGAATCTTTCCATAGCCTTGCTTCATTTTCAGGACTGTATGTGTAGCTCATAGCTGTTGCACTCCACGAATCCATATCATCCTCCCGGGCATCGCTTCGGAACAATCAGACAGGTATCTCCCACCCCTACCCTCCCATTCCTTACCAGTCGCAGCCCAAATGGAGGTAGCAGCACCTTGCTCCAGGCTTTTGAAGATTTTGATCAAACCTTGGTTCTGATACAAATTTTGCAGGTACTCTGCAGGAAGGTGTCGTCCCAGCCCAGTGGCGATCCCACCCGGATGAACGTTCGTTGCATGCAGCCCCAGCGATCCGAAACAACGTTCAATTTCATTGGCCATGTATATGTTCGCCGTTTTGGATTGCGCGTATGCGAGGGACGGGTTGTAATCCCCTTTCTGATAGTGCCAGTTGTTGGAAGGGTCGATACCGCCTAGCCTGTGTCCCGAAGATGCCAAGCTGACCACGCGAGACTGGAATTCTGGGCTAGTTCCAGCTAGTATCGCAGATTTCAACAATTGAAAGAGGAAATGAGACAAGTGGTTGGTAGCGAATTGAGATTCGTAGCTGTCAACCGTGAGTTTGGAGATCTGGCACCGCCATGATGCCGGCGTCGTTGATAAGAATGTTCACCCTGTCTGTCTTTGCCAGGATCGACTTTGGTGCATTGCGGACTCTCTCCAATGAGGCCTGGTCCATCACGACTAGCTGCATTGTATCGGGGTTATATCGGGGTTAAAATATATCACCGAGAGCCGTTTTCTCTTTGCCCAAATCTCTTGTAGGGAGGTAGAGAGTTGCTCCTGTTGCTGCCATTGCACGAACGGTTTCAACACCAAGGCCAGACGAAACACCCGTGATTACAACTACCTTTCTATCAAGCCTGCCTGCCATGTTTTCATCTTCAACGATTTGTAGGGCCGTTGGGCGTGAGTCGCCAACTCCTTGAGGGTTCGCATGAACTGCGGCATATCGAGACATTGTGTAGAGAAATAGTTGCGAGGGGATCTGAATCAGATAAATTGTTCATAGATGGACTGGTCAATGAATTCCTTCAAGACGGAATCGAAGCCTTTGATCCTGCCAAATGACTTTAGGCTGCAATCAACCCTCACTCACCATGTCATTTTTATTAGTGTCCGGTACTAATGCCGGATAGAGATAACTTTTGGCCTCCCCTGGAGATATCATGGATCGTTCATGACTACTTAATGATAGTTGCTTTTATAAGTCCCGCGCGGCCATTGCCCTGCTTGACCAGGACGCATCACTTACAGTCTCTCGACTGCCGACAGTGGCTCCAGTATCCTGGGGCATACAAGATCTCGGTGTTCGCGCGCGAGTCAGTGGAATGAGCAAACAGGAACGCTATCTAATGAGGTCTTTCGGGCTCCGCTGGACGGTCGCGTCGACATTGGAAATGCGCCAAGGAGCCAACGTCGGCGATAGCGAACAGGCAGATACTCTTATAACCGCTCGGGCCAGTTAGCTCCCGCCAATATGAAACTCACAGCCTTCGTCACTTATTCCGATAAGCTCGATGAAGACGGAGCTAATTGCTGCATGTCTGGTTGGCAGCGTACGGACGTCCGCAGAACTAAACGGCGGATCTCAGTTCTAGCAAGCTAATAAGTAATTCCGGTTTCGGTCAGTTGCCAATGGTAGCGCACCCATACCTCTGAAGTGCCAACTGAGGATCCAGAAATCTTTCCGCGCCAGCAGGCGCACTTAAGAGCGTGTATGATATCTCCGCTTCCTCGTGTCCTCCCGTTAGTTTGAAAAGCGAATTTTCTTTCCTTTTTTGCGTCACTCACCATGTGACTCTCATTTCCGCATAAAATCGATTAAAGCTTCCTGTGAGAAGGGGAAAGACTCTCAAAGCTCAGCTTAATCGATATATTTAACATTGTTGAACGATGATGTCAAAGTGGTTGCCAGCTGAAAATGTCCTCTCTGGTTGGATAGAAAGTGATTTGACCTTCCTGTATCGAGGAGCAACAAACCACCAGTCAACAACTTCTCCCAGTATTTGCTACGAGTTACTCTGGTAAATTGGGAGCTCGTAAAATGACTTTTTCTAACAATCAAGCCCTCGTCACCTTGTTCGAGAAGGGATCAATCGTCCAATATTCACTGCCAGCCTGTCCAGCTGGCGGCTAACGCAATGTCTGACGCGAACGATGATCTGACTCGGGTCTGCAGCCAGATTGGTTAGTTAGACAGACAAAATCAACCGAGCTGTTGGGCGATGAAAGTTTAGGTAAGGGTTACTTAGTCCTTCTCGTCGAGGCCGTGATTGCAGGGTAGCCTTGATAACATACCCCTGAGACTCGCTGAGGAAACGAGGCTTTGATCTGGAAATAGTCATGAATGGCCGCCAATATTTCGGCAATGTCGAAGCGGGTGCCATGATCTCTTTTACCTTTTTTGGTCCTCCTCTCTTCACCTTTTGTCTTCAGACTGTTGTTGGATGCAAGTTCCAAAAACCCGATAACACGTGAATCTGACACCCTGGCTTGACAATCAGGGGAGAGAATTGTGACAGCGCAAGAGCACTCAGACAGCACGGGCTCTAGCGATTCACGAGAAGGTTGTTTGTAAAGGCGGAATGGAATTTGTGAGGAGACATTTTTTGACAGGCTGGGAACCAGCAGTGCTTGCTTCCCCTCTCTTTCTCTTCTCATGCCAGGCAGACTGCAATGACAAACATTAATATCAGCTTTGACGCGTGTTGAGAATTATGCCTGTAAGCGCATCTCTGTGAACGGCAATGGAGGGAACATGCTGGGGTACCTGTCTTTCCCCGCGGACACGACTAGCCAGACCGACCCCTGTTCTGTTTTGTTCTGGATCGCCACATGGGCACACGGTTCTCAAGACTTGCAGACAGCTGACCTTCCGTAAAATTTACTCGTGCTGGAGCCTGGATATGCTATCCACTCTCGGTTATTGAAGGCAACACCAAGCGCGGAATTATACGATGATGAACTTCTGGACATCGGTAACGTGCCTGATTTTGTTAGAAGAGGGCAGCTCGCAAGGAAGAAGCGGACTATTAAGTGCAGGGATAGATGCCAAGGGGATGAGAAGAGAACTAACTTCTAGGCAGCGTACTGAACATGGTAATTCTAGCATCTTGCCCTGGTGAAGATCAGGAAAATATGCAGAGAAATGACCTGATGTTCAAACCAACAAGAAGGTACGACAACCCCGTGTCGCTTCACGCCTCATGCGGGGAGATTCCGGTCAGGTTGCGTTTACACAATGCAAACTAGTCTTGCATTCGGAAGAACAGCCTATCAAATACAATTACTGCTAGGGCGCCTACGCTACCTTTCCGCTTCCTCTCGCGATGCTATTGGTGTCAGTGAAGCTCTCCCGGTGTTATTCTCTAAAAAAAAGAACTAATGTAATGTAATCAACCACCCAACGCCCGCGGCCCGTGTACACCCAACGCCCGCCCAATCTTCATTTTTTCATCCATCTTCAAACACCCACAACATGCATCATGAAGCAGTTATATAAGCAGTAATTGATGATTTTGAATGCACAATTGATCCCTAATTACACTGAGGCTGCTAAAAAATATGAAATCAGTTAATATATATTATCACAGCAGTATAGAGATGTTCAAATATCAAGAAAGAAAGCAAGCTTTATTCACTGTAAAAATCTCACAGATTTATAAGAAGAACAGCTTCTTTTTCATATCAATTAATTAATAGATCATAGTTATCTTATACATCTCAAATCCTTTATAATCTCATTATTGAGATTCTAAAAGCATCTATTAAAATTAACTAAATATCACAATTTCACTAGTACTATAAAAATATAATCAAGTTACTCTATCTTTGAAATATCAATTAAAAATACAAGATTGTAAATAATTTAATATATTTTAAGTATTATTTTAATCTTATAATAGATTTCTTTCTTCTACTGATTTTTTACTTCTTACTAATTAATTTATAGCTATAGATAAAAATCACTTAATATAATATTAAATCTATAAATATTTATAACTTTAATAAGAAAGAATTTCTATTAAAACTTATTCATACTCTTAAATATATTATATTAATTACTTCATTTAAATCAGATTATATAATAGATATTAGTTAGAATAATAGTCAAGAATTTATAATACTATTTATTTTAATTTATATAGATAAAACTTCACTCTCATCTACTCTTATATATTAAGAAGAATTAAGAGATATATAAGATACTTAACTGAAGAATTTTAATAATAAAAAGAATTAAATTTACTTTATTACTTTAGTAAATAAATAAAGTAATAATAAATATAAATTAATATAATTAAAGAAGATCTTTAAATCTCTTATAAAAAAAAATATAAATATAAACTTTTTATATTAAATAGTTACTTCTTTTATATTAATATAATATTTATTAATTATATAGATTATTATTAAATTTTATTTACTATCTTTTCTTCTTATTCTACACACTGATTACAGTTACTAGATATTGAAATATTTAAATTATTAAGTAAATTATACTTTAATTTACTGAATAAATAAATAAGAACTGAAATAAGATTTATATACACTATAAAGAGATCTTTTTAATAACTATTTAATACTATATAAAAGAAAGTAGTTATATTTTTAAATATTATATTTATATTTACTACTACTAATCTATATTTATTTAATTTAGAAAATAAGTTCTTAAAAAACTTGTAATGTAATCTTATATTCTCTTAGATATATAATATTAATTAAGAATCTCTACTTCTATTATTAATATATAGAAATTAATAAAGTAAGTTAAATAGTAATAATATTAAATATCTAGTAATTTCAATCAGATAATCTATATAGAGAAAAATCTTACTCTTGAAAAAAAGATTCTTCTAATAGAGAATAGATAGCTACAGTAAGCTCTTAATTAAAAGAGAAGATATTATAAGTATAATAAAGTAATAAGATTATTAAATTCTTTAAATTTATTATTAATACAGTTCTTTTTACTAGTAAAGATATAAATTATATATAAGAAAATAATCACTTCTGAAGCTATTAAAAAGAATAAATAGACTTATAAGAAGAATACTAAGTTATAATATACTATTTTTAAGAAACAGAAGAAGATAGATATTATAAAGAAGAGAATAAAGTAAGAAATAACTTATTAGATAATAAAGTAATAAAAAGATATAAATAAAACTATAAGAGTTACTTAACAGTAGATTGAAAAGAAGCTTAAAGATATAAGAAAGACTTAAGAGTAAAAAGAGAAAAAAGAATAAGCTACTATACAATAGTAATTATAATTAAATTAGAAAAAAATTAAAGAATTTAAAAATCATCTTTCTAATCAGAAAAGTAGATTCTTAATTTTATAAAAAGTAACTAAATTATGTTTTCAGAGCCCTGTCAGAGTGCTTATGAATTCACTGTCAGAGAAATCTAATAATATTATAATCTCTACTGATTTAATAACTACTTACTCACTAAATCTGTCTTTATTCAAGATTTCATATTCTGAGTAAGTTATTAAGTCTAATAAATATCTACAGAATTAGCTGTATATTTTTATATGTAATTTTCTATATATATTTTCATTATATAATATATCACCTTAAAATCTAATTGCATTGTTGAGATATTGATGAAAATATTTCATTATTGTGATAGCAAAATGGCGGGCGTTGGGTGTAAGCGGGCGTTGGGTGTAAGCGGGCGTTGGGTGGTTGATCACGTTACCTCATAGACAGTAGATTTCAAACCCTTCACCATAGCGCGAAGCCACAGGAACATCACAACTTCCAATACCATACCGCTTGAATCGTTAGGACGAACATAAACGAACGTTCCAAGGAATAGAAAGTCCACAGAGCCCAAAATAACGACAGGAAAAACCTCAGCGCTTCCAACTTCCCGCGCTTTGTGAAATCTGAGCGTATCCTAGAGCGTGAAGTTGAGAAAATTTACTCAACTTGGAATACCAACATGAATGGATTTGATAAAATGAGATTTTCTCGACTCCCCTCTGATCCGCCAACATGTCCCTGCATTTGTTTTCCATGCAGTGGAATCTAGTCGTCATGGCGCTACGTTCACAGGATCGAAGATTCACATGTAATGTAGTGCAAATTCACTTGGCCCGTGTACGCATCAACACACCGCTTTTCATTTATCATGAACCCCGTGTCGTCTCAAGGCGATGGTATGGTATGCTCCGACACCCGGCGCAAACCTGTGTATCCTCCCTCCAACGTTTCCGTACCGACTACCCCGGAAAAAAGACCAGTACAGTACCCACCCGCGTTTAAACCTTAGCTACGATCCTTCCATATCGTTCCTCGTCAACGAGTATTCTGTATAGATATTTGCTGGCGCTTGAGCTACGTAACCAGAACGGGGCAATTATTTGCAGAGGTATATGTCGAGCACCAAAATTAGGGAATCCCAACTTTTTTTTTTTTTTAAAAATGTTGATATTAAATTGCAATATTATTGAGTTTATTTGTATACCATGGTAAAATGTTAAACATCATACACTAGAAGTACCCCGGGTTGTTGAGCTGCACGCAACCAGGGTATGAGTTCATCATCATTGTACCGCTTCCGATTACCAGGAGAGCCTAGTTATTTATTTAAGAACCTAGGTTACTGAAAACAATTGATATTAGTTAACAGCAGTTAAAAGTTGTTGTTTACATTAAAGGCATGGACACCGCAAGCAGTATAAGATTTGTCAAAATACAAGCACTGATTCAATATCAGCTTTCAGTTCTCTCTTTCATCTTTTCCATTTCCATTTTCATAGAATACTTTCAATCAGGGTAATTGTAAAAAGATGGAAAGTTTTGAAGTTAAATTAGCTGTGACAGACTAAGATTCTTCCTATCAGCGAACTAGAATGCTGGGTACAGTACAGAGTAACTAGTTATCATTGTTGTTGAGAAAGTCACTAAACAAAGGAACTAATTGCTTTTTTACACAATGGCCGGAACATCTTTGAACCTCCTCTTATCTACACAAGTAAGAAACTTTCCAACGTCAGGAGAAGGGCTAGCCCGTTTTATCTCCTAGAAGATGCACGGCCAAGCTCTTTCCGACGGGAAATGGACAACCGAGTGAGTTTCCCGAGGGGAATGAAAGTAAGTTTGTAGTTTATACTTCAAGTGGCCGGTTGACCTCATGCTGTACTGTACAGTGTAGAGAGAGGAGAGCACAAGTGAGTTGGGGGATGAGTGATATATTACGCCCGAACAAAATTTCAGCTTGCACCCCTGAGAACAACAAAGACACCAATAATGGTCGGTCAAGGATCGAAATGAGAAAGCAGAACTCAACATCTCCGGAGAAGTCCATCTTTCTTCCTCCATAATATCAGCATGAATTTGCCTCCTTCGGTTGGGTGTGTGCTCGTATTTGTACAGTAACTACATGGTTCATTTTGGGTTTAGCCCTTGCACAGGACAGGACATCGTAAAACAAACCTAATTTCCCCGTGTTAACTTGAGCCTGTGAATCGTGATTGATCTCCAGGTCCACCCGCCTCCCTAAGCATGAGGTTCCCCGTCATTGATCAAGCCACCCTTTTTGTTCTCGAACAATCGGAGCTGTCAGCGATCGAAATTGAGGAAAAATGGAAAACCTCGTCGGTCGTTGGAGTTATATCAGCTTACCCCCCGCGGGTGCCGAACATAACCGCACCCTTGAACAGCAATAAATAATCATGTCAAGATAGCTAATTTGGCAGGTTTTGCCTTTCCTACTTTATTTTTAGTTTTGGGGTTAGAACGACGTATGGAAACGGGTGAGAAGATTCCATTGTGCAAAGAAAAAGAAAAGAAAAACAGCACCCGCAGCCACATGTCACACAACACATGTAGTTAACTTATATAGTACTACTTGTATCTGGACGATCAGAAAATAGGAGAGGGGTTATTCAACGGTCACTTGACCTGATTCGTTGCTTAGACCCATGGGAATGTATACATTCCGGTCGAAGGGAAAAAATACTTCGCCTATCGTGGGGATCACCACGAAAGCAGCGAATCCTCAAAATTGGGGTGATGAAGGAAAAAATAAAACCAAAAGGAAATAAGTTAACTGGTCGATTATCAAAAAAGGAAAGGCTGAAAAGGAAAGAAATAATTCATGCATGTTAGGTCCCAAATTTGTTTTTTTGCCTGGTCCTTTCATTTCATTAAGAGGTCCTCTCCACCGTTGATTGCTGCATAATTGCCCTTCACGGCATGTGCTCAGGGTCCAAGACAAGGACAAAAGAGGAGTTTCCACTATGTTGCTCCAATTAGAAGGATTGCATCTCCAACCCCCGGCTGGTCAGTTTTACCTGATTTTAGCGAGATAAAACAGCGTCGGACTCGGCCTGACTCTTGTTTCTTTTTGTCCGTCCGATTTTTGCTTCTCCATTGCTTCTTTCGCATTCGTTCTGTTTTTAACCTTTAGCAACGAGAAAGTATTCCTCGCTTAACAAAAGAGTCCATGCACTCGTGATGGAAACTTTCCCCATCGGTCTTCGTCTTCGTGATGTGAACGCACATCCTATTTTTCCCTGACCTCCCGTCGGGCATCAACAGCATGCATGCATCTCTCGTTCTTTAGTCTTGGGACTTTCCAAGGAACTAGTCAGTAAACCTGTCGTTCCGACTAGTATCGGGTGATTTTTCCATTAGCGTTTGTGGAGATGAACTTCATCCTTCATAGGAAGGGGTGGGTGGGCAAGAACAAAAAAAAAAAAGTTTAATAAGCGTCCTGAATCAATGTCCTCCGCATATCTTTGGGTGTGCACTGTATTCGAGTTATCAGCGTTCCTCATTGCTTCCCTCCAAGAATTTGGATTGATAAAAAGCGAAGAAATGGTATCGGACCTTTTTGCTGGGTATCTGTTAGGGATTCTCGCAGCTGATGCTGGCCCTTGAGCTTTCCCATTGGAATTTCACCGCGCGAATTCTATTATTCCGCTTATTGGGTGGAGACTGTGGAGGTTGCCCCATCTCTCCAATTTGGTGCAGCTCCTGAGTCCTGACAGACAGGAGGACGAGGCGAAGTGGGTTCATCGAGGGAGGGAGTGAGTGAGGGGCGGGGATTGCCGACTATAAGCAACCAATAGGAGTAGGGACAGGTATGCTGTACCTTTCGAGCAGAGCTTATTATTTGTTAGCTCTGCGTGACATATTTTGATACATCATCGAAATCATGAAGAGCAGGACGCCGTTGGCATTAAAGAAACTGGCAGGCGCTGGAATTCTTGTGCCTGTCTGGGCGGAAAACGGCCACTAATGAATATTAGGCAGACTGGGAGAACAATAGGCATTATCTATGGCAAAACAAAAGCATTTTCTGGGGTGTAGAGATTTGAGCGCAGGGCAAGCAAGCCTATAGTATAGATGATATAATCTCATCTCGAAGCAAACGGCCGTACAGACAAGCATTGTGCATCTTATAAGCTCAAGAGTGACGCCGATGCCTTTGCAAATTGCAAGGAGCGGACGAGCCCGGACTTGGCGCCCAGCCAGGTTGAGATAGGGAGAAGTTAGCGAGTCTAACCCATCTCCGGGGCTTAGCGTAGTCGAGACAGCAGAGATACATTGCAAGAAGAAGCACAACATGGGGTCCGCCTAATGCAGGATGTAGAGCTCATGATTCAAGAAGCCAGCTTATCACGGGGTATTATTATTGTTATCACTTTTGGTCGATGCTGACAGAATCTTGACCGATTTAAAGCAATCTATTTTTGGCCATTCTCGTACATACGCAGTAATGTTTATCTTGGTTCAGGCCACATATTTTTGACTTTCGGCTCCTGGTTTCCTGGTTCGAAATGGCGCGCGTTGTTTTTCTTTTTCTCATTTCTTGCATCAGAGTTACTGCAGACGCCAACTTGGTCTTTCAGTAAGCTAGTCGCCACAAACTGCCGGAGAAATGGGCGATGGGCGCGGGAAGGGTCCACCAAACCTCGGGGCAGCCACGAGCTAAGCCTGAATGAAGTCGTCTTCATTCAACCCGTCTTTTTTTGCAAGGGCGATACAGCACAAATACCAGAGCAAAGTACAAGTACGGAGTAGTTACTCCGTAGTTACCGCTAAACGGATATGGGGGTATCCATCCCACCTGACTTTGGGCCCCTATCCTGAGCCGCAACAACTGGATGCTTTGATGAGGACGAATCATGAAATGTTGTTCCAAACATCGCGTCCATGGGTCCTTCGCATATGATTCCAGGAAGCAAGTAATCCGGGGATAATGAGAGTAATTTGTCGGGGTGTTTAAATCGTGCGGTCTTAGTGGGGTCCGTTAAGCCGTTTTAAGTGGTGCCAATCTGCCCCGGCGGTCGTAGGCTGTCAGCAAGCACTGGCTAGGATGAGACACATGGATGTCGCCATCAAGCATCGATTTGAATATCTGGTATCGAGATATCAGGCAATACACCGTAACAGCCGGGCGGAAAGATCATGACCTCCCTACGCAGTACAAAACTGCATGCATCCGTAAACACAGTTCCCCCCCACTGTTTGATCTGCGGAGTGTCAACTGGGCTTTTCGCTTCGGTTGGAGGAGGCCGGAGCTTACATGCCTGGAAACTTCTCAACTGCCTCTAGCTGGATGGGCGGCGGAGCTAGCTGCTGCTGTGTATCAGGCTTCGTATCGCACTAAAGAGGCGCGCCTAGAGAGTGTGAGGTGAGGAGGGAGGGGCAAATACCTCCATATCCGTCGGATTTAATTCTTCTTCTTCTTCTTCTTATTATTATTATTGATTGGCACTTTCTGTTTCCTCTCTCTTCTTCCTAGTGTTGTTTGCTTCGCTATCTTCCCTCGGGGTCTTCTTCTGTATAAAACATCAGCGTTAACCAATGGCTCAGGACGAGGTCAAAATCAGAAGAGCGACAGACCAAAGTCAATAATAATAATTATTGCATAACAGGTCTTCCCAGTCGTCAATTTAACTCCAGACTTACGCAGACTTACGCAGCGTATTCCTGTTTTCCCGGTGCTTGGATCCGCCGAGTTGGTCGGACACCCCCCGCGCTTTTTTTTTTTTTTTTTTCCCCACGCCGCCCACGCCGCCCACCAGCAAAGGAGCGATTCCCCCCAGCGATTTCCCCCAGCGATTTCCCCAGCGCATCCCCACATACAAACCAAAACCACAAACCTCATCACATCACCTTAAACCAACCAACCGCCTCACCCCAACCCTCTCACCTCGCCATTATTATTAATTATTATTGCTTCGTTTCTCCCGCAGCATTCTCCTCACCTCTTTCCCCCCCCACACCCCCCTTACTACCGACACTCCTCGACCCTCCTCGACTCTCAGAGGAGAATTATCAAGTTGTCAAGTTGCTTGACAAGACTCGGGTTCTTGGAGACGACGCTCCCCCTGGCAAGAGGAAGAAATATCTTCGTTCCGCGCCTCTAGGCCGCTTCAAAACTTTGCTCGTCCTCTCCGACTCGCTCCACTCTCGCTTTCGCTTGGGTATCTTTTCTGTGGCATTTTACGCCCATTCCACCCTCAGCATATTCACTGTGGCTGCAGGTTTGATTTCTCGACTCCTGCAGTTACCAGATAGATAACATCGTTGGATTTGCCCGTCGCTGTTTTGCGACTTCCGTACCGCCTTATCTATCTATCTCTTCCACCTCCTCCCCAATAATGGAGAGTTTCGACACCATGACCGCCATTCCATACCTAGGCAGCCCGCTGTCTATGGCCAATATGCAAAATACCGACTATCTCAATGCCATGCCTTCACTAGATATTCCAGACTCCCATTCAACTTATGACCATGAGACATTTGTTAGGTATTGTCTGTCCCGTTTACAGTATCCCTATCTCCCATCCCTGCTTGCGCCTTTGACTAACCAGTCCGTACTTGCATAGCGGTGACGACATTGGCTTTGCGCAACCTCAACTTCCAGCTCACTCTATACGGCGCTTCTCTAATACTCACTTCGACGACCCTTTCCCAGAAATGATGCCCCCCTTCGAAACCCTCCCGTCCGACCAGCAACTTCAACAAGACTCCTCCATCGACCATAACCATAAGCTGCTCAGCTTTTCTATACCCATGTACAATTTTACTTTGCTAGATTACTCACTACGGCGAACTTCCATATCAATGGCTGCCCAGCTTCATGGCATGTTTTTCCTTGCGGAATCGCCGTGGACGACTTCACCAACGACCAAACCAAGTGGACCGCCCCCGATGGCGGAATTAACTTGCTACAGACGAAATCTTTTCCAAATCACAGGCTCAGTGACACTACCACGTACAATGAGATATATCATGACGGAGCAGGGCGATCGCATCCCCATCCTTGCGCAGGAGCTCAGAGTCTCGGCGACTGAATCAGTGGAGGGTAATCCCGTGAAGATTATTTCCGTTCCCTGGAAAACACCTGCTGCCAACGCTACAGGTCAACCAGAGGACAAGACGGAAAAGGAACCCCCTTCAATTCCTTTGGATATCATGGCAGGTCAGGATATCGATTCGGATTATGCCACTTTCTCGATTGCGTGGAAACGGCTGCAGTTTCGCATCGCTACAGCGAATAATGGCCGGCGGAAGGAATTACAACAACACTTTGTCGTGAGATTGAAGATTGTCGCAACATTGTCAACAGGCGATAAAATTTCAATCTGTGAGGCGCATTCTGGACCTGTGATCGTGCGCGGTCGTAGCCCAAGGAATTTCCAGTCGCGAAAGGATCTTCCTCTTAGCGGGAGTGCTGCATCCTCACGAAAACATGCCCAGGCAAACGCCAACCGGGCGTCGACAAGCGAGGCCTCTGGAACAGCAACAAAACGGAGCAAATCTCCTCAGGATCAAGACGCCAAGAAACAGCAACTCCCATCATCATCATATCCGGAATGGACGCAGGCCTCAAGTGGCCCTTCCGCTCCTCTCCCCACATCCACTTTTACCAACTCCAGTGTAAACGATGCAGCGAATTCTTATGCGAACTCCAGTCCAGAGGTATCTCAACATCGTGAAAAAAGACGGCGAATCAGTGCCACGGCACGTCCCATCAGCCTTTCATTCATTGATGAGGGGTCAAGCCCAGGAAATTCTGTGGGGGATTCAAATGGCACACCCCCCGTCATGCCAATGGCTACAAACGTAAACAACCATAGACAGCGGGACAGTGACGGGTCACCTTCAGGGAAGCTGCAGAAGATTTCCACAGCGCCACCAAATCGTCAACCTCTAGCCCACAACAATCACAATTCCTCAGGCAATATGCCCACTCTAAACCAAACGCAGCACCAACATCAGCTGCCCCTCCTAGCATCACAGATACTCAATCCCAATGAAACTGCAGATTTTCTCTACGAGTACTTCCCGCTCGGTTTGGATGACTGGCAAGCCCCTGTTGATGCAGTTTATCGACCTCACGTTGTCCATCATACCCACTTACCGGATGACCCCAAGGCGATCGCCGCAAGGAGTCGGAGTAGGACATATTTCGTCGAGGGGAGCTAAAGCATACATAGCTACATACGCCGCCTTTCCATAGACGCCTTTTTTATTGGGATCCACGAGCACGTTTGATATAGCTCCCATCATTCTATCTGTTTCACTTTCCCTGGTTAGGATCTTCTCATGAAGTTTGTTAAACTGCCGTTCACACTTTCTGTTTTGGGGGCGATGAAAATCTCTTTCTTTTCTTTTTTCCTTTCTTCCCCCTCTCTTCATGAATTGGATATGGGCGGGAAAAAGTATTTTTGGGAAATTAAGGGAGCCCTTTTTTTTGTTAGGGGGCTTGTTTTCTTTCTTGCTGTAACCTTTTTTTCTTCTTCTTGGATACCTATATGTTGTTTTCTTATAATGTTCACCCCTCCCTTCGAAATTTTGTCTTATATCTACTCTTTTCCTCTCCCTTTTTGACTTTGCTCTTTTGAATGCGCCCCCTTCCTATATATCCGACCGATTTCGACATTGAACCTCCTCGAATTTTTATACCTAACTGGATTCGTTAGGCAGGCACCCCCATTTCAGTTGTATATACGTACACATATAACCACAATACCTTACATACACTGGTTCTTAAACCTAACAGTTCAGGCCTTTTTCAGCCCCTCAAGCCACCAGCGTCTTATGCCAGACCTGGGCGAAATAAGCTTCGGGTGGAATGGATTTCTGTCCCCATTCTCGTTTGCATGTAAAGCGAAATCCCTGTTTAAGCACAGCGTGGCAAGGGAATCCCTCCAAATCTCCACCCCCCCCCCCCTCCTCGCTTATCAGCTTATAGAGATTGTATGTATTATTACTAGCAGGCGCAAAGGGCCGATATTCTCACCCCAGAAAAAGGAAGCAAGCAGGCAGAGCTGGAAACCTCTTCCCAAATATTTCCGGCTGAAATCGAACCAATCAAAACACCAAACCCACTTTCTCTGACTTTAGTTTTCTGGATCTTGGTTCTGAAGATAACTCAAAAATGATAAAGCAAATCCGAGGATCGACGCCGACGCAATCATCATCATTATTATTACCTAGGTACAGTGCCTGAACCGACCCAGACCCAGTCGTAGCCTGTGTCCCACGGACATCCACGCTGTTAAATCCATGGATGAGGAGTACCTGGATGTAGGCTATCTCGGATCCCGCGTATCAACATCCGATTTTCCTTGTCAGACGGAGCAGGGCGCGGAAATCGAGATTTCATCAAATTAACCTTAATCTTCCAACTAGCGAGCCTTTTTGACTTTTCCCTAGAAAAAGATTCCTAACCTGCCACGTGGGAGGAGGGGAGGAGCTGTGGATAGCATGAGCCAGACATGCTATGCTGTAAGTGGGACTACTTTCTGCAGAATGAATTCTACGTAAAGGGGCCAAACATTTATCTCCCCTCATCCATAAATAGGATATAAATATCCAGCAATTTCAAGCGAGCCAACCTCCAACCACATGTCCGCAGATATGTCCGAAGAAGAAGAAGGTCAGTTAAGTGGGGGCCTCAGTTGCTTGCGTCAGTCAGAGTTTTGATTCCAACGGGGCGTTGTGCAGAGAATGTTCTAATCACCTTCCATTCTGGAAGCCGTTGGAAAGGGGATTTTTTTTGCAAAAAAGAAAAGCAAAAAGGAAAAAAGGAAAAAAAGAAAAGAAACTTTCCAGCAAAAACCAGGCGCTATCGCTACGAAACAACCTTTTCAAAACGCGCCCCCCTTCAGCGTCTAAGTTCAGCAACTAAGTTAGGCTTCGCGGCGGGATTTTTTTTTCCGTCTTCCCCTGGACGATGCTGTTGATATTCTTGCTCAGTGCATCTTACCAAGGCGCCTGATGTCGCGGGAATTGGGAGTGGCGCGGAGAGGGTCCCTATACACCTTCACCTCTGCCCATCATGCCCAACTATCCCCCATGGTACGTGGCAAAGTTGCTAGTTTATGGCAAGTTTTCCGAAAAGCTCCGCTCACCCTTCAAACTTGTTATGCGATACCTCCCGGAGAACTCAGCCGGGGAGACCTTGTGTGGAAAAAAGAAGCCCTTGATCTAGCGGAGATTGCTAACTCATTTAAACAGGGACATTAAAAGAGAAAGTAAAAGAGTAGTTCAAAAGAAGTCAGAAAAACAAATAAAAACTTTTATGCTCGGCCTCCTTTTCTTGTTCCTCCCCTTCCTCAATAATATGTCAGCTTTGAAAACCACAATGACCCCTCTGAATATTCATTCTCAGGAGAATGAAAACGGCGGAACGAAACAGATGCCTGAAAATCTTTTGGTCAGGGATTGAGATTTTTCATACCCGGCGAATTTCAAGCTCACCATTTTCAGAAAAAGCCTTGACCAATACGCCGTCATGTTTGTTTGAAAATTTAGCCAGGAATTGAGAAGCACCATGAAAATCAGATAAACAGGATGTATGAAAACTCCTGTGCCTCACGAGCAAGGTTCTAAAGCATCTGGGTGAGGGTAAGGAGACTGACGATGCACAACGGTTTAAATATGATATTCTATACTCAGCTGTGATTTCTAGTTTTGACTAGGGAACATACGGCTCTAAATCAGCTACTCCGTATAGAGAGAAGATTTGATACTTTTCAGCTCACAGGTATTTTGATATCTGAACCACACCATCTTATATACTTGCATTAACGAAATTCCCGTTCTAATTTCCGGCGAAGGGGAAGGACAAACTGAAAGTCAAAGGGATTGAATTCGTACAGTACTGATGATCGATCAATCCCATCACAGAACCGACCCGTCGGTGTATCCTACCTACCTACCCATTAGGAGATCATACCCGGATGCTCTGAAAGAAGAACAGAATCACTCAACCCACACAGGGAGATCCCACACAAATGTTTAGAATAGCAACCCACCCTTCATGCAGATGGTTGGGAAACCCCAACCACAGTCTTCCAACCACCTGGAGGAGAGCTGCCAGATTCGAGCCACCAAGCTCGCCCCGGACCAAAAGGGAGGGGGGCTGGCGCAGAAGATTGGCCGACCAGGTCATGTCGCAATACAATACACACACACTCCTTGAGCACGAGAGATGCCCTTAGCCAATTGCATGATATGCCATGTTATGGATCTCTGATGAATGACGCGCAAAAAACAGGCTGGATGTTATCTCCCATCCCAAGGGATTAAGGAGTTTTATTGGAGAAATATGATTCCGTCCTCTGGAGAGCCCTAAGAAAAATATATATATAAATATCGCTTTGTGCTCTTGATATCTGTGGCTTTGCCCAATATCCACTCGGCACAACTTCATGGGAATAGACATCGAGACAACCCATCACACCCCGCACTTCCACAGCTCTCACCAGCTAGATTTGGCCATAATTGTGTGATACATGGCTATTTTGAGCAAAGATGTAAGAACTCCAGTTTGATGATTGGAACGCCAGAATGGCCCATATTAATCTTCCAGCGAAATGTTGTTGAGGGGGTGAGGGGAAAGGAGATGTTTGTCAAACCAAAAGCCGTTGCGCAGAGGACACTCACACTTTCCTCTCTTCAAGATGGGAGTCCCATCTCCGCATAGATTTTATACGAATCCATCCCATTCCATATATTGAAGATGGAAAGGCATGAATGATAGCTTAGAAACTGGCGGGGAAACCGGAAAAGCCGACACAAAGCTCAGAGATAAAAATAAGCAGTGGGGGTGAATGTTACCCCATGCTCAACATCTGACTCTGTCAGATCTCTTAATGCAATCCGCGCTCATAGGAAATCTTTGAAATAGAAACTTTCTATCCAAAAGTTCGCAAGACGCTGTCAACCGAGTTCGACAATTTTACAACGAAGAATGCATAGTGGCCCAAGGCGAATCAGATCACCTGAATGAGACGTGTGAAGCGCCAAAGGGCGCTGAAGATTCTCAGAGAAACCAACATTATCTGAAACCTAAGACAGCAGGGCCGGCCGTCTACATAACACTATCGCGATGAGATCGACAGACAGATAGACAGACAGATATATTGGGCTCTTAAATGCTGAAAGAGGAAATGTTACCGATTATCTCCTCCCTATCTCCTTACGTACGTGTCAATGTGCGAAAACAGCGCACCATCACTCTCAGCTAAATCATCCCATCTGGGCACGATCTATAAAAAACAACTTACCATAGAGCAACCATCACATAGAAGGCCCGCATCTCATATCAACCCCGCCCCGCCAACAACTCTAGCCTCAAACCTCTCAAGTTGAAAAATTTGCGCGCGATGATCGGCCCCTCAATTTCCACCCCGTCAGTCCCGTGAGAGCAACATACAAGGAATCCTGCTGCGGCTAAGAGGCGGATATCCAATTGTGGTGTCAGCGCGTAGGGAGTTGACAGTATCCGCGCATCGCATGCATTTGCTGGAATGACATGCAGATGCAACGCTGCTGAATAGCTACAGCGTGGTTATGAGTTGTTGAGTTTTGAATGGGATGCGGTGTTGAATATGTAAGAGAGTCCGGAAATGGAAAAAGGGGTAGGTAGGTAGGTAGCCATTATCTGTTTCCAGGGCGTTTTCTGGTTTGTTCACTGGCATATGTATGTGTGTATGTATATAGTTAGCTAAACCGCGGGCGTGGGGCGAAGGAACAGCGTCTCTTTTCGTAGAATACAAAGCACATGCTAGCGTATAGTTAGTTAAGAACATCCATTTTCAATTCATGTCCCGTTATTTCTGCCAACATCATCCCCTAGAGGTTGTTAGCAAGCATACCTCCGAAGAAACAAACCAAGATATGGAACGATAGCCCATCGAAAGAAAAGCTACCATCGTCGTACAAACATAACCAGCCACCTTCAAACCCTCGATTTTGGACCTGAAAAGGCCATGTGCGACCTAGCTACTAACCATATCATAATATATTTACTTCACCGGGCAGACAAACACCACCACGGGGGAGGAAGGGAGAAAGGGAGGAAGGGGGGAGGCACGATATCGATCAGCATTGTCATCAACGCCAGACACGCACGCGTCAATTCTGTGACTTCCTGCTAGCAAGACGAAAGACCATGAACGCACCCGACTCTTTTGAACCCCTACGCTTCCCAGACGGGTGGGACTGAGGTATCACATCAGCTCTCGGGCAAAGAGTAGGTAGGTATAGCGGTCGTATGAGAGCTTCCACGAACCCAAGGGGCAAAAAAATCTCCCGCCCCATCGCCATCAGTGACGGCCATCCAAATCCCGACCTCGATCTCAAGATGTCATTGTTAACAACAAAAACGCCTAGAATCTGTCTGTCTCTTCCCTGACAGAGGTCCTCTTGAAAACCGCCTCAGCTGAACTGGCCATGACCAACCTGCACAGCAGCAGAAGATAGGCATTGAATTTGTTTTTGTAGTAAATTGCGGAGCCCTGGTCCATATATTCCAGACATATATAATCAGGAATCTGATCTTTTTTAAGATTGATGAACCACTAATAAAATCTTCTTTTATTCGTTTCTCTTCTAATTTCTTTTGCTGTAGGTATCAAAAAGTCCTCAAATCACTGGGATATAATATCCGCCATTTATTTAAAAGGAGAAGCAAGAACGAAACTGGCAAAAATATGAGAAGTTGAGATCACTGATAGAATACAGCATGACCTGGCTTTATGTGATGGTGTTGAATCACCATGGGCCAAACAACATCAAAGCAGAGAAAGAATTTTGTGGGGCCTTTTGACTCCATAGGGATCGGGATTGTCCCGATATGCTAGACATATATATATAGATATAGATATATGTATATTTATATACGCATACGTTATATTGAAGTGTGCGTATAACCATCAACAGACGTTATGCGGCAGCTCTATCATGAGGAGCTGCGCGTTTGTGTGAAATTATTAAAGGGAGGACGATGGACCCTCATCAAAAGAGATATCAAATGTCGTGATGTTGTTCATAAACACATCTGTTCGGAGAAAAAAAAAAAAAAAAAAAAAAAAAAAAAAAAAAAGAGAGAGAGAGAGAGAGAGAGAGCATCGTGCAACATGCTCCCTTCAAAGCTTGGCATAGAAATGCGCCTTCTGGCCATCCTGGTTTGGACCCCCTTTACCCCAGAAAATGAAATTCTCTCCCTAGGTAGGTACGGTACGGGTGGGTTGCAGGTGGGACTCTTACTCCGTGGGGTAACTAAAGATTCAGGCATACGCGCCCCTTGACGGTAGTTAAACCCTTTCCAGCAAAGCTCGGGCCTTGGCAATTTTAATTGCAGCTTTGGGAGGGAGCAAACGAAACAGACAGAGAGTTATCAAACATTTTCTATTTTTATTCTCAATCTTCCATCTTCCTGTCCAGTCGGGAAGTCCATAAATGAAGTGAATAACCATGTTTCCCCCCTTTGCCGTTTGTTGTTAGCCGGGAGTTACGTTTCACAGGGGAACAAAAGAGGCTCCCTGCAGAGCCCCTTATAGATCCCTCTTGTCGAGCAGCCTGTTGGTCATCATGTATGTATTATTGAAATGAACGAACTGCTGCCAGGCCAGATTGTCCCTTTCACGTGTGATATCCAGCCTCGGTTGTTACTCATTCTCGACATTATGCCATACGCTCTTGGCCGTCAACGCCGCTTCGTTGAACTCGCGCAAATAAGGTAACGTCGGTAAAAACATGGCTTGAGGTTGCAAAGAAATTCATTTCTCCCTGAAAGCCAAATTGGGACACGGCAAGGGAGTGAAAAACTTGAGGTCATTCGTGCTCCTTCCCCGCCAACGCGGTGTTGTTTTTCACTCCTCTGACTGAACTGGGCTTCTAGTTAGTTCAAAATATTGATAGAGAGGTGTATCATCGGCTGAAACTCTAATCAGGGAGAAGAAAATACGCTGGTAAGCCATGGGGGTCTGTGAAACACAAGCTTTGGGTGTAACAACTTGCTGCCCATCATTGGTTTCAAGATGATCTCTGGTGGTAACAAAGTTTTGTACCTGCCGATCTTTTGCTAGATTTTGCAAGTTTTGTCGGTCACAAAATAGGTATAAAACGCCCGGATGGGAACCTGGCAGATAATAACCAACGCTGAGAAAATATTTGAATATCCCTTCAAAGGCTGACTTGCAAAATGTCATTGAACTTATCGGCGGAATATATGTTTCCCCAAGGTAGAGAGCTATGCAGCGACGGGGTTTTGGAAGCGTACTCCCCGTATTGGTGTTCTGCCAAGCCCCATCCTTGTTTAGAAACGGCCTGCATTTGGACAGCTTGGGATCTTTTTGGTTGAAGATCCAGGGACTGACTGGCTGGTTCAAAATCTCTCTATTCCCTTCCAACAAATGTCTGTTTGTCTCACAGTGATTTTCCAGATCGTCTATCATCCTCTGCTGGCCAGTTCCTGGGAGCAAGCACACACCATCCTGTGGCACGACATTTTGACTCGAATGGATTAAACCACGCTTCGAGTCAAGCATTGACGGCGCTAAATGGTGGAATCTAAGCCTAAAGTAGAAGAACTATTAAACGCGCCGAAACATCAAGGAGCCAAGTCCGGAGTATGGGGAGCAGGAACCTCAATTCCCAGTTCTAGTAACTACTGTACTCCGTACTCCGTAGTCCCTGCGGTCATTCATGCACAACACCGTTGTTTGTTTTTCTTCCTCCGTTCAAAGATCAAGATTTGCAAGCTGGCTTCTCTCTCCAAGGGTCTGCTCGCCAACAAGACCAGCATGAGGAGGAGGGCGGCCAACAAAAAGGTCAGGTCAAAGGCAGGAAAGGACGTGGCGGTTTGGAATCAGGGCCTGTGCTTAGAAGTGGTCGTCGATCAAGCGAGTTGGTCGCAGAACAAGGTTGCACGCTTGGGAGCAACGTTACATTGCCACTAAGGATAAGAGCTTTCAGATGGCGCATTGGCGCATTAGCGCGTTGGCGGACTTGGTTTGGGGTTGGGGGGTCGAGCTTGGCAGGAAACAGCAAGGCAAGGGAGAGGAATTGGAGAGAGCATTTGCCATGCCATGGGAGATTGATTACGGAGTACATTACGGAGTACATGTAATGTACTCCGTAGTCTGACAAGAATAATGAAGGAGATATTGATATGATATGCGGAAGAAAGAAGAGGGAGTCCAGTCCGCATTGGGAATATATTTACAAAGTAATGTCCGGTGTACTGTACATAAGGAACCTGTTAGGTTACTAGTTAACTACACATTGCACTGTCCACGGGTAACCTAGGGACATGGTCTGTGCGAGACACAGTACCAAAACATATCAAATACGCGCTCGATACAGCCCGCGGTCAGATTAATACGATACGGGTTCTGCGATTACAACGTATCAGACAGTTTCCCAGCTGTCCAGGTATTGTCGGTATTGTAAAGGGGGGGGGGGTGTGGGTGGGAAGGTAAGAAGAAAGAAGAAAGAAGAAAGAAGAAAGAAGCTGTGTGTTAGACCTGATCCCATCGAGCAGAGATAGTTATCTCATATCTCGAGGCCCCCGTCAGTACGTTGCGTGTACGTTGTAACTACGCTGCGTACTAACTACTAGTTATCTCGTTAGTGGCTGCCACTCGCTGCCTAGTAGTAGTGGCCAACCTGGGACCCGCCCGGCCGGAGCGTTGCAGAGAAGGAAGTCAGAGCGAGCCCACACACATCTTCTCTCCCAATCTCCCAATCTCCTCCTAACCTCCCACCCTCCCCCTCCCCGCCAGCGAAGTTGACTGCTGCTGGACCCTGGGATACCTGGATAGGTGACCAGGAACGTTACAACGAGGCGATCCCACACACCCGTGAATCCCCCCCCCCCTTGTATAATTGCCGATTCCCGTGGCGGTGGCTCGAATGTTTCGGAGGCCCGCTATCAGCTTGTCTCCGACATCCTGGGTTGCTTGGTCCCGGCTGTCTTCCCAATCCCCAGTACCATAGTATGCACGCAATCAACAGGTACATCCACCACGCTGTCGCCAGTAGTAGGGAGTGTGTCCTTTCAGCCTGAATTCAACCCTGGACGAGGGTTCAGAATAGAGAGTCACCACGGATTCCACCCTGGATGTCACCTTCTTTTAGCCTCGCTCCACCCCGCCGCATGACGCTGTTGCGGTGGGAAGCCCAAAGCTCCCGCTACCAACGCGAGCATCAACCCGCAGGCAGCTTGCTTGCTGTCACCTGTGTGACTCCAACGCGACAAGCTTCCTACTTCAGAACTTGTTCCAAATCGACAATAGTTAACGAACACTCGAAATCTCCCCCCCAAATCAAACTGCTCTCTAGCACCGCTAATCCTCTGCCAACACAGCTGGCACATGGAGCTGTTCCTGGGACCGAGTGATCCCGGAGCCCTTTCGTTGATACAGTAGCTATCCCTCCTGTCCAGCCTGTGCCTCTCTCGCCGAACCCCCAGGCAGGAAATTCGGCAGGTCTGTCTTTTCCCTGTCCAGAGAAACCTGTTGCGGTACGTCCGGTGCCTCCGCAGTAGTGTGCGCGCATCGTTTCACCCCCAGGTACCACCGTCAGAAAGCCACCTTCCCCAGCCTAATAGATCGGGGTTGCTCGTGTCCCTCCTCCACGCACTTTTCTCCGGGTTTGCCAGACTGGGTACTCTCTCCTCTCTCTCCCCTTTTTTTTGTTTTCTGGGGGAAATTTTCTATTTTTGTCGATTTGATTTGATTTGATTTTTCGATTTTTACTTTCTTCAGCTATCGTTTTTACCTTTGCCTATTTTATGCGATCTGAGACTTAGAGGTGACTCAATTCAGTAACTCTCCCGCCTCCTGATCCCCTTCAGGGTGGATAGTCGCATCCCAGTGGTGAAGGGATTGCCGGGCCAAAGATCAAATCGTTGGGTTTCCTGCGGGGGGGGGGGGAAGGAGTACAACAATAACATAAGATACACAAAGGGAGGCATACAGAAGAGCCCCGTCGAAACAGAAACAAGGCCAGTGCCAGTGCCAAGCAGGAAAGGTAAATTCCGGAAGGAGCGCGCGATACAAAGGGCCAAAATAAACAGCATAAACCAGGCAAAGCGGAGCAAATAGCGCCTGCAACGCTGCCTGTCGACGTTTTATTTTTATTGCCCAGAAAATCCGACTTCACTGTCGCACTCGACTGTCGTTGCTGGCTGGTTTAAATTTGTACTTCCCTTTTTATTTTTATTTTCAAAAAAAAAAGTCGCTGCGCATATTTGGCGGGAAAAAATAGAAGGGCTGGCAGGGGGACCTTTACTCTTCTGGAAGGTATCAGGTACCTACCTACCTGGGTTCAACCACTCGAAAGGCCGCTGCAAGGTACTCCCAGATACAACTTTAGAAATCTGCTCTTCCTCAGGCGTTTCTATAGTATATATCTACGAGCCACTCCGCCCCTTCCCGCGGTTCGAGAAACTACTGCTACATCCGGATAGAGTATCGCCTTATTTGTCCCGCCTTTTGTTCCGCTCTCTTTAATAATAATTATATCTCCCCGCCCATCTTCATCCTCCGCGTTACAGTGCTGTTGTTGCTTGAGACATTCTTTAAAAGGCATAACAACCGCGCTTGACGACAGCCACCCGTTTCACGAGTGCCAAAGGTCGTTCATTTATACGCCCAACAAAAACCAAAAGCTGATCTTGAGGGCAGAAAAATGTGTTCAGGCTTTTGAAACTGGTTATATGAGCTGTACCTGAGCTCTTATCGTGGCCCTTTTGGAAATCCGTTCTCCGGCTTGCATCCAGTATATAAAATAATATACACCCAGTGCCACTTATCGATCATCTATCTCAACCCTCATTCCTTCAACTAAAGAGTGCCATTGGAGGGCATACCAATATACCTCTTTTTCCCACGATGGCAGACGCACTTGCAAAGATGAACCGCCGCATGCGGGCCTTCTTCCACAACATCATGACGCTCTTGAAGCGCATGATGATGATCCCTTCGCGGGCAGGGGATGCATCCGTCGCGAGGCAAGAGTCCTTCAGCAGCTCCAAACGACGCCGCCGGTCGCTCGATGATTTGTCGCAAGAGGTGGATCGCCTTTTCACAGGACACCTGGGCGTTTCGAACCTGCTCTCCATGTCGAAAAAGATCCGAGCTCAGATCGACATAGGTGCGAAGACTAGTCCAGTCTGCATGTTGCCATCGTTCAACCATACGCTACCCACTGGAAAGGAGTCCGGAACGTACATCGCCATGGATCTAGGAGGTTCGACTTTCCGAGTTGCCCTTGTTGAACTTTCAGGAGGTGGGAAAATGAGGATTGTGCGTATGACTTCTTCTGTGATTGATGAGACTGTGAAGAAGCTGGAGGGGAAGGCTTTCTTTGTATGGATGGCGGGAAAGATCGAGGAGATGTTAAGTGCCGGCGAGGAGAAGTATGGTATGGAATCGGAACCCTTGCCAATGGGACTATCGTGGTCGTTCCCGATCGACCAAACCTCGATACGTAGTGGGCGTGTCATTGCAATGGGGAAGGGATTCCTGTGTTCTAACGGCACTGTGGGTGACGACCTGAGCGAGTTGATTATGGAGGCTTGTAGGCAGCGGAATCTTAATGTTCGCATTGACGCGATCATTAATGATAGCTCCTCGACACTCCTCTCGCGGGCATACGAGGACACATCGACCCGAGTCTCTTTGATATTGGGAACTGGTACCAATGCTGCCATCCATTACCCAGTCCATGCCATAGGGCTGGACAAGTTTGGAACTCGGCCAGCTGAATGGTTTGCTCAAGCGGATCATGTCATTGTCAACACCGAGCTCAGCATGTTTGGCGGTGGTGGGGTTTTGCCAACTACGAGATGGGATGATGTCCTCAACCAGACACATATAAAGCCTGATTACCAACCCCTGGAATATATGTGCACAGGGCGATATCTCGGCGAGATCGTGCGTCTCATCGCAGCCGAAGCGGTGAAGACAGCAGGCCTGTTTGGAGGTACTCTTCCAGAATCCCTCCAAGTCCCATACACGTTCGACACCAGCATCGCCGCGTTCATCCAAGCAGACACCTCTCCCTCCTTAGCGTCTTCATCCGCCTACCTCCAAAAACACCATACTTTCGCCACTGCCCCATCTCAAGCGGACCTCTTATTCCTTAAACAAATATGCACCTCCGTCACACGAAGAGCAGCCGCCTATCTCGCCGCAGCCATCCATGCCTTATGGTGTCTACGAAATTCTAGCGAAGCTCCCGCCCTCCCGCCAACGCCAGACTCCGTCACATCCTCCTCTACATCAAACGACAACGGCAACGGCGATGTCAATTCAGAGATGCCATCCGACCTAAACAAGAAGCGCACCAACAACACCAACACCACCAGCACGACCACTGCCACCGCCACCAGCGACTACAACGTCACGATCGCTTGCGACGGTTCCGTCATCAACAAATACCCGGGTTTCCATGACCAGTGCCAACAATTCCTCAACGACCTGACTCTCGAACGAGATCCTTCACAGCCCTCCCGCCCCATCTCCCCACCAGACTCAGCCACAACATCACCTTCCAAGCAGGCAATCACCACTGTAATAACTTCGTCGCCATCCATCACGCTTGAAAGAGCCAATGAGAGCGCTATCTTTGGTGCTGCGGTTGCGGTTGCTGTTGCTGTTTCAGAACATTAGACTTTTTGCGTTCTTGCGTTTTTGCTATTTTGTTTTCATTTGAGATCATTTTTATTATTAGAGAGTTTCTTCTTTTCGAAAAGAAAACACACCTCCTTTTTTTCACACCCTTTTTTTCACACCCTTTTTTTCACACCCTTTTTTTCTCCCCCTTTAGCCCCTTCATCTAGTCAGGATGGGAACGTACTCTAAAATGATGAATTCAGATCAATACCAAGACCAGGTTGAGGATTGTGTTTTTTACCAACCAACTTCCTCCTTCTCTATCGCCTTGATTTTAATTCTGATTTTTGTAGGCAATCCCCCCTTACTCTACACCTCCCTTACCCCCACGGCCCCCACGGCCCACACCCCCACATTTTCTTGTCGAGAGCGATTCAGATATTTTTTATGTATTGTATATATTTATCTTATATTCTTCTTTTTCTACATCTCAATTCTCAACCCCAGTAGCCTATTATTTTATCACCCCAGTTTGTCCCGGTTTTGCTGAACCTCGCAGCCAATCCCGTCCTCATCATCGTCCCCCACCATTCTATTTTCCGTAGCTATACATACCTTCTTCTCTTCTCCCTCCTTTGTTGCATCATACACTGTTACCTTTCACTTCTACCTCATTATGTTTCACTTCTCACATGTCCAGTTGCATCTGCAAAACAAAAATGTGAGTGTCAGTGTTTAATTCACTGGTTTTTTTTTTTTTTTTTTTTTTTTTTCCCTCTTCAGGCGGGACCCCGGACGGGCTGGAATTGCATGAAACATACATATCTCTTTTCTACCTTTTACCTTCTGTGGTTTATGTGTTATTTCAACTCTGGATTTCTGTACCTGTTTCACTTGTGTTTTACTTGCTATCAATTGCATTAGTCGGATTTCTAAAGAAAGAAAGAAAGAAAGAGAGAAAAGAAATAAATACATGAAGTTCTTATTTCTCTGGCTGTGTCGTGCATTTTATTCTCTTTTTCTTTCTTTCTTTCTTTCTTTCTTTGTTCTCTCTCCTTACTTATTTCTTTTATATTCAATAGGTTTTATTACATACAGGTGTTCTGACTTGTTTTTCCACTTTTACTCTGTCTCACTTCACTGATTGCTAATTTAGTAGAAATATAACAAGCTCTGATTCTAACCACATCAATTAAAAACTATTGATTTTTCTTCTGTTGCTATTGCTGCTGCTATTGTCATTATTATTATTGTTATTATTATTATTACAAAGCATCAAACGCTCGCTTACACTCGCTTTGCTGCTTGCGCAGCCCCTGCTACCAGTTCCACCCTCTACCCCTACCCCCCTTACCACTCCTTCCACCCTTACAACCACTTCCACCCCTTCCACCACCACCGCCTCTACCGCCTCCACCACTCTCTTCCACCCCATATCACCTCTATCACCATTATCAGATTAATCAGAGCTGTATAGGCTGCAGAGCTGGCTGTTCAATCCCATTCATGAATTCAAAGAAGTGCACATGACATCACATGAGATCATGTTACAGGGCATTTAGCAGCACATGCCATGAACACAGAGATCAAAAAATGAACATAGAGAAGAGTATAAGAAATGTAAATACTGTAGAGAATGTATGAAAAGAGCAGAATGGAAAAAAGAATGAAGATTTCCAAGATTGATCTGAGCTGTATGAGCTGAAGCATTCAAATATTTTGTCACATTACAGCATTTTTTGCATGAAAAAGTTGGTTTCTCTATAATAAATAGAGAGATTATTCTTATTCTTATTCTTATTCTTACTTATTCTTATTCTTCTTCTTCTTCTTATTATTATTATTTACATTTCCCCCCTGCTTTTTGCATTGAAATAAAATGAAATAAAATGAGATAAACTCAGTCTCTCTTCATTCTGAATTGGTGTGAGTAGTAGTAGTAGTGATAGTAGATAGTCATGGCTGAGAAGAGAATAGAACATAACACAGTTGTTTAATTAAATAGAGAACTCTGTGTGAAGAGAGAGAAGAGCTGTATATACACTTAAGTCTGTCTTCAGCTTTCAGTTAAAGACTGAAGGAGCAGTGTATTTTGTAAATATTGTACAGTATATAGCAGAGTGTAGATTAACTTAGTACTGACAATGTGTGTAAACTATAATTACTATCTATATATTGATTGATGTTAGAGAGTATTAATATTATTATTCTTTCACTGATCACTGTTCATGTAATTTAAAACTTTTCTTTAATAGATATTCTTATTTCTTTTAACTGAAACCTGATGAGTATATATATACTTGAGAGTTAACTCATTTATTAAAATTTCTCTGATTGCACTGTTTTTATTCATTTATTTATTCATTCATCCATCTGTTAAATCTTAAAAAATATCTGCAAAAAGACCTGATCAGCTGAAAAGAGATTATACAGACACATGTGTACTCATTCATCAGTTCTCATCTCTCATAGATTGCAAGAGATAAATATCTCTCTCTGTAAAACTCAATTGAATAATTGATAAATTTGACAATAGACGAATCTGAGCAAAGTTTGACGAAGTACTTTGACTTTCTTAAGTCTGAATTGAGCTTTGAATAGAGGGCTTGTTTGAGGCGTGCGCCTGGGTGCATATAGCAAAGTGGGTAGATAGATATATTCATGTCTCATTTCTCTAAGATAGGGGGGGTACGCCCTCTGATATATACAAGTAAACATGCCCATTGCGATCATAGAAGGAGCGATTGCAAGTTGCAATCATAGAAGTAGCGATCGCGGGGTTACAATAGGAAAGAAGATAATAGGGCCCTAAGTGTGGGCGGAAGAAGGAAGGAATGGGGCAGAGAGGGTGGAGCGGAAGGTTAGGTAGGGGGTGGAAGCCAGGGGCTTCCGCCACATTGTCTATGAGTTGAGCTCATAGACAATTTTTAGAGTTGATATCTAGTTAATAGAGATGTGAGTGAGTGAGTGAACAGATAGAAAAAGAAAAAGAAACAGATATCATGCTTTTTCATATTAAAAGAATATAGTTTTGATAACACTTCATCTATTGTTAAATTCATATTCATGGAGGGGGAAAAAATAATAATAATAATAATGATAATAATGAATCAACATTTAGCATGTAAAAAAATATCACTTCCTTCTAACACATAAAGAACAAAGCATCAGATCATTTCATTTCCCATTTCCCATTTCCCATTTCATTGCTTCAGTGAAACCTTAGCACCATGGTGGCTGGCACATGTGATGGTGATCCACTCAGCCCATGGCTCTGGATCGCGCGATTCGATAGAGCGGAAATGCTGCATTAGCCGGATTGTGGTGTATGATGCTTCTGCGAGGGCGAATTGTTCTATATTTTTTGGTTTGTTAGAAAGGGGGGTTTTGAAAAAGCCCATCACATTGAAAGAAGCATTCGGGTGAACGGATGGATGGCAGGGGGTTTTCAAAGCGCAAAATGGGGGTGTTAGTGAGGAAGGAAGGTAGAAAACTTACGACCAAGACAAATCCTCGGCCCACCATTAAACGGCAAATACTCCCACCCAGGCCTTAATGATTCCCATCGCTCCGGTTTGAATTCAGCAGCGTCGGGCCCATAGATGTCTTCGCGTCTATGCATGCTGTAGACGCTGTAGGCGAGCGTCGTGCCCTTTTTGACAAGAATCGGCGATTTGCCGTCCAGTCCACCACCACGGGGGAGGATAGTGTCGCGGATGGCGGCGCGGGCGTTAAATGGGACGACGGGCCAGAGTCGGAGAGCTGGGAAGGGGCGGGGAAAAATGTTAGGTGGCAAAAAAGAAAAAAAAAAAAAAAAGGTTTGGGGGGGGGGGGGGATGGGTTTGGCAGGGGGTTTATAAAGGGTTTGCTTGGTATAGGAATTTTTGCGCGAGACTCACCTTCGTTAAGCACGTATTTGAGATATTTCATATTTTTCATTTCTTCGAATGTAGGCTTTCTTCCGTTGAGTTCGTCAACTTCCACGCGGAGTTTGCTCCACACATCTGGGCGTTTGGAAATGATGTTCCAGACATTCGCTAGAAGACTCGCTGTGGTATCGCGGCCCGCAAGCAAGATGTTCAGGGTTTCGGAACGGAGAGCAATAGGGTCTTGAGTCTGCTTCGCCAGTTCTTGCAGGAATACGTAGCGGCCCTTTTCCTGTACAGGGAGGCGTCCTGCCTTTTCATCCCTGAAATGCTCAAGCGCCTTCATCACATACCGATCCGCAAAATCATGAATCAGCTTCTGATCCCTTTCAAAGCGTTTGTCGGTCTTGAAATATCTGTCGAGGAGTCCGAATCGTAGGGAGTTGCCAATTTCTGTCGTGCAGTACGTGAAGGCCTCGCCGAAATTTTCTCCGGTGAGAGGACTAGTACTTTTATGAAGAGTGTCAGCCGACTCTCCGAACAAGAACTCGGTTGCAGTATCTACGGTCAGGTGAAAGAACAGTGGCTGGAGGTCAACGGTAGATCCATCGGTCGGGACCACCTGGATAAGGCTTTGGATATGTCGTTCGAAAATAGCAAGGTCAGCGACCTGAGCGCGGTTGAAATTTGGACGCAGCATGGTTCTCGAGTGCTCCCATTGGGGACCGTCTGTGGTGAATATGCCATGGCCAAAAACGCCATGGAAAGCCTGTTTTCTAAGGGCGTTGATATGGTAATCTGCGAACTTGAGGGATAATACGGTCTTAATGTTCTCAGGTTCGCAAGTAGAAATTGCTTTACAAAGAGAGTTAGATGCTATGAATAACCTAGATAACTATAGGATACATATTTGTGGCAATAGGACTTACCGGGTATTCCGATACTGTTCAGCGAGTAGGTATTTCCAACAGTCTTGAAGCGTTTCTGGGCTTCTTGGAGGAGGATATTCTTCTTCTTATGTCTGCTAGCTTTAATAGCGAGATCCAGTCCAAGAATAGGATCTTTGTGTGGATATGCAGGAGGTGGTCTGCATGCATTCTCCTTGGCTAGTTTACGGCGAGCAGCACCAACGGTTAAGTAAAGGTGTATTTGATATAGGCCGAAGAAGGCCAGACCTCCGAATAGGAGGTGTATCAAGGACAACATTGTGGATGTTGTCGCGCAAGATTGTACGATTGCGCGATTGTACGGAAATCTGCTGTTCTGTGCACCGAATCGCTGTTTGATAGACCCCTCGATCCAGGGCCGAGTGCACGGTTATAGATTTACTGTGAGACGAGCTGTGTAAGTGGTGATCTTTCCAACGTTGCATACTCTGACATACATACATACATGTACATGTACATGTACAGGGACACACATCCGCAACAAATGAATAGTTAAACCAAAGAAACACCATCAAAGGGCATTGTTGCAGGGCATGATAGGGCTCATTACTTACTTTGTTTAATCAATCAACGTCAACCAAAGCGATGCGGCGTTGAGGAACAACAAGGAGGAAGCTCCAGGATATATTTATAGTACCTCCACAAAGCGAGCTATGTAGATATCTAGACTGATAATTTTTGAGCAGAACTGGAAAAAGGCCAAAGAAATGTGGGATTCATGCTCTATTTCCGGGAATTTTGGGCCCCAGACGATGCTTGGGGAATAATGCACATTGGTCCAGCCAACCCGCAGCGGGCGATACCTAAGTTTAGCGGTTCGATCTGCGCATAGAGTTTGCTACATAAGTTACTATGTAGGTACTCTACCAACAGACTCGCCGGACGCTCAAAGCACACAACCCAACCGGCGACAGCAGCGTCAAAACAACCTAGGTTCGATATCGATTTGCCGGCCTGGGATTGCATGCGTGGGCGGGGAACGGGCTCGGCGTATTTGTCCATGCCATGCACCACAGCAGCAGTGGTTCAGCGAATCCCATCTAGACATTTCCGGGGCAAAGTAACTAGTTTTTCTAGAAATTCGACGCTTTTGCTGCCCGCCTAAGTCGTCTGGTTGGTGGTCGGCCCCAGCTAGACAGCGCCACCTCGCGTGGGCTTCCAGACATGATGACCACTCTGGCTAACACGGGGGGCAACTTGCAAGCAAGCAAATGATTTCATTTCTTGGAAATTCCCCCGCGTGTCCTTGCCCGAAGAAGTGCTCCACCAAGGCGATCAACCGGCGCTCTTTTTAAGGTGCAATAATGGGGTAAAAGTCACCCCGCACGCCGAGTCCAAGTATCCGAGTTGCCAACATCAGGTCGCACATGAAAAAGGAAGAAAGATATTAGTTAACTACCCGGAAGGTCGGCGAGTAAGAGGGGAAAAAACCGCGGATATTTTCTAGTTTCGCAGTCAGAATGCTAGGCTTAGAGGCTATTCTTGGATAGTTATCCCTTTTAACGATGGAACCTCGGTTTCAAGGGAACACGATCGGGAGAGCTCTTTGCTCATTTTGATACGATGCTCTCGTTATGCAACCGTTAGTTGATGTGTGAATCGAGCAATAGGAGAACACATCTCGCTCATCCACACGATTCACGAGAGGTTAAGCTTAACCCAGCCAAGCCACTACCGCTAACAGCATAGTTACGCTAACTCTATTCCCAAATTACCGGGGCTGTAACTACAGACTGTACAACGAGTATCTCCGTGAAGAGGGCATAAAATTCCCTGACAGGATTGACGCTTGTCTGGGGGCTATGTCGAACTAGCTAGCTACCATTGGTTGAGAACCCTCCTGAATAACTACCCCGAATCAGTTCAAACCATGCAAGTTTCAGCGGTTGACACGATCGTTCAAATAATTATGTGCATATTTAACTCCTCATCTACCTCGGCCCACCAGCTCAACAGCTGCGGGATGGCCAACTGACTGGATTTACGCTGCGTATGGGGTCACCTATTGGATAGGCATCTTTACATCAGGGTTGCGTTGGATCTGGTTCTTTGGGAATAATGCGCCTGCTAGCGAACCCAGGAGCCTGGGGAACCTTTCTTTCGAGATTGCGGACTCTCCCGAACCGGAGGCGCCGACTGGGCTTCCTACAATGGTTTGATCTTGCACAAAGATACTCTGTTCTCTGATGAGTCGTTAATGAAAGGAACACATCATCAAGAGCGTCGATTACCCTCTAAAACGGAGTTAAGGAAACATGGGAATCGAATAGGTTAAGGATGGAGTACCAATACAGTCATCCCCAAAACCTAATCATCCTTGAAGAATGCTCTTTTCTAAAAAAAAAAGAGAGAGAGAGAGAGAGAGAAAGAAAGAAAGAAAGAAATATAGCGCCTTTGGTTCGACCTAGACTTGAGATATGTTTCATTTTTCCGAATACGAATCTATTACGGATAACTACAAGCCAGCACTTGCTAACCTTCTACTTTTCTTCTCGTGAGGTTCTGTTGGGGACGGCTTTGGGTTGTTAGCATTTTACTCACTCGGTGAGTGAGTCGGTGGCCGACGCATTTTCTCTTTACGTAAATAATGAGGTTATCTGGCTCAGGGCTGGTTAAAAAGTTGTGTTTGACCAGCTACTTGAGCTAATTATGAGCAGTATAAATCTGGCACAGTCAACGATATATTGTATCTGGCTGAGGTTGAGGTATGTCATCATTCTTTCTAATCATGATCAATCTGCCCCTTCATAAGCACGAAACATTTATCTCTCGATTTCTAATAAGTAATAACGACGTGCGAACTACCTATTTTCGGTTTCCTGTGGCTTAACTACGAGAAACTACTGGTTGAAATACACCCTGAGCTTACATCTTCTCGTGGGGCTCAATGGATCAATTGTATTTTTGGCTGAAAAGAGAAAGCTGACCTCTATCTAGTTAAGTGTTTTACCACCCTCGATTTTTGGATCCTGTTCTCTCCGATATCAGCCCTAAAAACAATGGGACTTTCTCCTCTGTTACGGTCGGACTCACTGTCGTCTAGCTGACTGCAGCAGAAAAGGCGGAGCCATTGGCCACCTACAAGCAGCCCTCTGCTACATGTCGATGCGTAGGCTCATGGGCCGGATGGCTGGATACCAGAAGCCGGAGAGTATTGGGAATTTGGAATGCACAAGTAGGTAGAGCGTGACCGCAATTTCACAGAAATGTGCCCGATTTCCAATGACTTTTAGGCAACAGGCATTAGACAGTGTGGAATTGTACTGGGTGTCTAGGTTAAGGCATGCTGACACGTCGTTGTCGCTTTTAAACCCCTACACCTGGAAACTTTCTCAAATGGATTTCTGGAATGAGATGTTATTAACATTGGACCCTGGTGAGCGCCTGAATGATGGCGCGAAACTTGACCAGGGTCTGCTGGATATGGGTGTATGCTATTTAGCTGTACAACTCATGGGACTTTGGTGTAATATAAGGAGAACACAGGTTGGTATATAACTTGACCTAGAGACTTTTACGGAAAGATTTTCTATCCTACGCAACATCCTCCCGAACACCTTCAAGATATGGAAAGCGGCTAATGAAGACTGCACGGAAGACGGTTTTAAAGATGAATGCCGGCTCATTAGATGCCAACTAAGCAGTGCTACCCGCCAATTGCACTGACAGGCCCAGGCAACATTATGAACAGGATGCCTATTAGAGCTGTGCATCTTCCCTTGTTCTTGTTCCCTATGTGAGATGTTAACTTAGCTCTTTTTATCATTCTATCAATTGTTATTCCATCTAACCAGCCCAACTGTCATTGACCGGTGAGACCCGCAGATATTTGCTGATTTGCAGAGAGAGAGAGAGAGAGAGAAATTCCTCACAGCGCCCTGAATGGTAATTTCAAGGGTTAGAAAACCAGCTGTCTCATTGCTGGACAAGGTCCGTTTTGGCATAAGGAGGACCCCAACTGAAGGTGACTCAGTTCAAGGGGCTCACACAGTATATATGTTGGACAGACCCATGTCCAGTTCAGGACCCCGCATTTCAGCTTCATACTCTACAACAGACATTGCTCAAGGCGGGTTTTTACCCATCCTTCCCTCGGCAACGTTCGGCCATTTGACCTTGACTTGCTGCCCCACTCGAGCTGGACTTCGACAGGAGGACAACGAGCAGAAACGGGCCCAACTATCGAGCCTTTCAGCAAGGCAAACATGCCCGGATATACTCACTCGACATACTTACTCGGCCTCGCAAGTGTTGTGCTGGTGGGGCTAGCAATCGTCATTGGCACTTTCTTTGTGAAGCTGTACCATGCGCGCATGCTGCTAATTGACCGTCGAAGAAGCAGTCTGGTAAACTCCCACCCGTTGATTTTCATGTTCATATTTTCTGCTACTCAAGAGCATAGCTAAACTACTCTAAGCCCGTGGTTCCAGGCCATTCGTTTCGATTTGGCCATCTCTTTTTATCTCAAAGACATTTTTGACCGGCTTGCCAAGAGATGCCCACTATCAGTTTGGCCTCGCAACGATTGCTCGAGAGCAATTCTACGAGACGGGGGGCTTCTACATGGACCGCTGGCCGATGAGCGGTTTGTTCGTTATTGTAGTCTCACCTACGATCGGTATGGAGATTACCCAACAAAACCCCAGGCTTACATCTAACCGTCCTAAACAACTGTGTCGTTACCTCAAACCTACTACCGGCGGTCCCACCATTTTAGACATGGATGAAAAAGAATGGAAGCCATGGCGTGGAATCTATAACAAAGCATTTCACCGTGACCGAGTCATCTCTCTTGTGCCTTGCATGGTGGAAGAGGTATTAGTCTACGCCGAAACCTTTAGCGGAGACCGGAGATATGTGCTTTTTGGATCCGATCACGCTTCGTTTCACGATCGATATAATTGGGAAAACAAGCCTGTAGGCGTGTTTTTATTTATCCATTCATATCTTCCTCGAACTTAGCAGTGTCTAGGGATTTGCAAGAAACTGAAAGCTTCCTTATCGTTAGGTACTCAAGGAGGCTATAATGCTCTAACAGACGGCATGCTAAGGCAGATCTAGTGGCACTAGGTCCCAATGCAGCTGCTACAGCCATCGTCATCAGGGGAAATCCTCGCGTGATAAACAGCCTACAATACACACTTGCCGTCATTAGAGAATCGAGGCGTCTTTTCCCACCTGCAGGTGCTACCCGTGCGTGTAAGCGGGGCATCAGTGTAACAGATGATGCAGGCAACGTTTGCTCAACCGACGATGCTATCCTATAGATCCTGCACGTCGAAATGCAAACTTCAGAAAGTACTGGGTGAAACCCGGTGCTTTCTTACCGGAACGTTGGCTCGTTCTCCCTGACCATGAGTTACACCCTTCACCCGGCGCCTGGCGTCCCTTTAGAACACGGGCCGAGAAACTGCGTTGCCCGAACCCTAACACTTGTTGAAATGAGCATCATACTTGCATGTTTTTAGCTATGATGAGTGGGACGTCAAACATCCGGTGAGAGGGGGAAAGCACTACCAGGGTGAACGGGCGGAATCTAGTTGAAAGCGGAGCTGCACATCCAGCGAAGCAATATCCTTCTCATATTAAGCTAGCAAAATAGCATACCTGGTTTGCTCTCTTTAAATGTTGCTTTCCTACACGCGTCGCAGAGAGTTTTCTTACAGATTCACTCTGCCAAGGCTCATATATGGTAGAGCATTTCTCCCTTATTCATCCCACTCCAAAGACCTGAAACCGGACCTCCTCCAGTTATGTGATTTGGCCAACAAAGTTCAACATTTACTCATATCTCCAGTGCGCCTGTTCTTGTTTTAGTTCGCTACGTAGGGCTTGTCTTAGCACTTCCGATACAAACCTCTCTCCATATAGCCTGTGTGCAATGAAGACAACCATGAATTTTAAGAATTCTAAGAATTCCGTATTGGCGATTTATTCTCTAGCCTCTTCCGGCCTTCAAGACCCTCGCAGAGCGTAGAGTTGGTTGCGCCTGAGTATTCCTTACACTCTAGTTCTGAAACAGGTCAATCAGGACAGCAATGGGTGAACCCGGTCGTCACCGCGGCCTTGGGATACCGCGTGTGTTGTTCTAAACCTTGACATGACAAATTCATCTGAGAACCTGTTGCATAGGTTTTGAGCAGTATCATATAGTGCAGTAGAAGAATAGGTTGCACCATTCTCAACTAAAAGCATGTATCACAGGTCGACAGTCTCGCTACATCGAGTACACAGGCTCAATTAACTCAAACAATTAATTCCCTATAAATGAGCAATAATAGCGGACATTTCCACATGGATCCGAGTTATCTGACTAGAGTTGAGTTGCGAGGTTCCGCCCTAAACACCATTCGCCACACCAAGACACAGGGAGTGATTGCAGTAAGGGCTCAAATCGCGGATAAACGCCAAGTGAAATTCAGAGTTTCTGCAACTCTGTATATCTATATTCCGAGGAGATGGGTGCGAGAGATGATCGTACATAATGGAGAGGAAAATAGCAATATGTATTCACCAAAGAACACCTGAAAATGGCCCCAAAAATAAGACAATGCTGATAAAATGTACAGTGAAGATTCCATCCCAATGAGACCAGGTGGAAGAGAAAGGCCAAGTAAAACAGGTATATAACACATGCAAATAAATGGAAAAATGAAAGTATAAATTGAGGAAGATCTGCCTTCTCATGTCGCAATTTGGGCTGGAAAATTGCTGAAAGATGGCGACTTCGCACTGGGTTTCACACCGTTTCTACCGTCCTGTTATCCAGCTCGTCCAACTCTTCTTCGGTTGGTTTGACGCTTCATCTACCTTCGGTTCTAATTGGCCGGGCTCACCGGGGTTGGGACCTTGCTCGAATGGCGCAGCGTTTTCCACTCTGCTAGCATTCACAGCTTCAAGCACGCTTGGTCTCGCATTGGCAACTTCGTCGTTACCTTTGAGTTCAGCACTTGTACCGTCTTCATTTTTAAGTCCTCCGAATAGCCATTCCTTTCCCTTGTAAAACATCGTTTGCTTTTTCAATTCCTCCTTTTGTCTCCTTTCCATATCCGCCTGCTTCTCTTGTTCCAATAATTTAAGCTGCTCTACTGTGGGATTGCCTGCGACATATGCTTTTTTTGCCTCCAGGAGCTTGTCTAATTCTTTATCAATCCACAGTTGCTTTTGGCGGCGATTGTAAAGTATCAGCGAGGTTGCTGAGTAGATGGTGAGGGCGGCAGCGAGACCTAAATTTGATAGATAACCGTCGAGTTAGAACCCTGCATCCAAGGATAGAGAACAAGTGAACGGGAGTAGCAAATGAAGTATCATTCCAATTTCCCATTTTCCAATCCTGATAAAAACCATCCATCATGGAAACGGTAAAATTTAAATCACGCGACCGGTTGATCGGGGAAAAAGGAAATTAACCTACCAGATGCAGTTATAAGAGTATAAACTGTAACCTTGTGTGCACGGTCGGCCCATACCCGCCCCTTTGACATAACCCGATCCATCGGGGTAAAGGCCTTCGCATATCGCGCCGCACGAGCCTGAGCGCGTAGCCGTTCGACTTTCTGCTTGGGAGTCTCTTGTTTGCCCCCGGGGCCCGATCCGGTCGTCGTAGATGAGCTAGTTCCTGCGCCCGCCGACCTTGAAGTGCCGGAGTTTGCTACTGACGGTTTCGAGGACGCATAGGGGCCCGTCGCTGTGAAACGGGTTGCGTCTGCTGCGGAACGAGACATGGTCAAAGGAGGGGTAGCTAGGCCAATTGGCCCGTGGGAGGGGGATATGGAGCTTTCAAAATAACACTGGCAATGCAGACTACGGCAGAGTATATCCCATTGAGTAGTGATAAAGGCTGGGCTCGTAGCTGTCTAGGGTTGTTGATCTGAGGTGTCTGGATGTTGTTCGCAGCTTAGGGAAATTTTTCGCATGAGAACGCACGGTCAGCCAAGACTCGGGACCAAATAGGGACTAGCGCGTAAACTGCCATTGAAACCTAGAGGTACTCCGTACACTTATCTAAGTTATAGTTAGGACGACACGAGTTCTACAAGCAACATAAGAGAAAGCGCAAAGTAGAGATACAAGGGAGCGATTTTGAGGAGCGGTTGAGGGATCTTATCTGATTTGCTCTGCTATAGTTTTTATCATCACAACAACTACCATCACATGCAATGGCAGCTCCATCAAACGACGTTGTCCCGGATCTCGCTTCAGTTCTGAGGACACTTTCAGCCTATGCGCCAGGTACTGTCGATCAATCTAGAGTTCATAATCCTCCAGTCGGGAGCTCGAATCATAGCCTGAATGCTAGAGCAATTCCAACCTCTAGACATTCTCCCCTGGAACAGAACCCTTTTCATCCGAACCAGCCGCCCAATCTACCTGACCCGTCCACAATAACCACCTGGCCCGCGGCATTGAAATATGTCATGAAAACCGTGGCGCAAAATGAAGCAACCCAGTCCAAGATTAAGAAGATGATTCGCACGCAGCATGACCATGAGAAACAATGGTGGGAGGGCAGGCAGGCATTGCTATCAAAGCAGGCAGGCCGGGAAGCGAAGAGGAAACAGCTTGATGATGTCTTGTAAGCTCAGGAATTCTAATCCACTCCGCTTTATTGAAATGATGCTTCTGAGAATAGTTTGATAACTCTCGTTCCTAGACGTTCAGTTGGCGGGGCTGTGTCGAAAGACTCTAATCCTCCTGTATGTCCATACCCCGATCATGCCCACAAAACGCGATGCTCCTTTTTGCAGGTAAAACCGTGCTTTGGGCTTTCTTTGAAGGAGTTTCTAATGCTGATTCCTCCTTCTTTCTATGTAGAGCGCTGAAGATGATAAAATCGAACTTGACACCTACGATAAAAAGGTATACAGGGCCCTAACAACCATGTCGAAAGCTCTTGACATGGAACTGCACGACCTGGGTATACCTTTCTTTACTACTCCGCACAAGCTAGTCACTTCGTCATCCAATCATGTTTCGGATTCACATTCAAGTGAACCTCTCAAGCCGGAAGAACTCAAGGCTCTACAACTGCGAATGCTGCAGCTCTTGGAAGATCTTTGTAAAGATTGAGACTTGAAATATCCCAGGGAAATCTGTGTCCACCCATAGCCCTCTTGAAATTTAAGAGCTACAACCATACGGTGCCTCTACCGGGAAGCAGTTTACATATGCATATGTCAGAAATTTTTGATCTCGCCAAAATAAAAATTCTTGGCATTGTTTATATCATCTCTCAGGTTCGAAGTCGTGGATTGGATTCGAGGCCCATTGGATGTGTCCCCAGAGCGCAAACTGCGTTGTGTAACTTGAATAATCGATCCGCTTGGCGCATTGCATTGGCCGACACACTCCATTCGAACGAATGTATCAAACACAACTTGAACCACTCAGCTCTCACTCTTCTCAGGTCTCTATACCCAACTGCGGTGAAAACACCCTGCTTGTCTTTGAAGAAAGATACTTGACATGATTAGTGAAGGAGTTCCTTTTACTTGTAATGTGCTATCTATGACAGGTCTACACACTTCATTCAAATGAATGTATTAAACACAACTTGAATCACTCAGCTCTCACTCTTCTCAGGTCTCTATACCCAACTGCAGTGAAAACACCCTGCTTGTCTTTGAAGAAAGATACTTGACATGATTAGTGAAGAAGTTCCTTTTACTCATAATGTGCTATCTATGGCAGGTCTACACACTTCATTCAAACAAATGTATCAAACACAACTTGAATCACTCAGCTCTCACTCTTCTCAGGTCTCTATACTCAACTGTGGTGAAAACACCCTGCTTGTCTTTGAAGAAAGATACTTGATATGATTAGTGAAGAAGTTTCTTTTACTTGTAATATGCTATCTATGGCAGGTCTACACACTCCATTTGAATGAATGTATTAAACACAACTTGAACTACTCAGCTCTCACTCTTCTCAGGTCTCTATACTCAACTGTGATGGAAACACCCTGCTTGTCTTTGAAGAAAGATACTTGATATGATTAGTGAAGAAGTTTCTTTTACTCATAATATGCTATCTATGACAGGTCTACACACTTCATTCAAATAAATGTATTAAATACAACTTGAATCACTCAGCTCTCACTCTTCTCAGGTCTCTATGCCCAACTGCAGTGGAAACACCCTGCTTGTCTTTGAAGAAAGATACTTGACATGATTAGTGAAGGAGTTCCTTTTACTCGTAATGTGCTATCTATGGCAGGTCTACGAGGAATTGGATGGCCATATTTTAGTGGTTAACCAGATATAAAGAGGGGAGATGGGCTTACTCACTTCCACCCAGGAAAAGAATTATTTTTTCAGCAATGTACCATCGAGTTTTACGTGATAGAGGTTTGGTGGGTTCGATTCAGCAAACTAACCAGCAAACTAAAAATTAATCTTTCGCCTTTTTCCCCCTGGACATCATTTCTTGTCTTGTATAATTGACCTTTTCTCCGTTATTGTGGCTGTTAAATCTAAAGGAGCGTCAGTGTACTTTTTAATTTCCGGAAAAATGCGGTCCGCGCGAAATGCTATACGAAACGTATCGCCGTTAATACATCAAAGACGGATATCGAGTAAGCCTCTCCAAGAACCAGCACAGCTGGGTTTCGCCTACACTTGGCTCGAAACTACCCGATAGCTACTTAGAGACGTTTGGACAGCAAGCATTTTTGAATTTCTAGTTGAAGAGCCGACGATGACTCCCATTGTCTCCAAGGTCACGCTTGGTCCCGAGCAAAGACGCCAAAGGCATTGCGAAGATTTGAGTTTATTTGTTATGCCGGCTACGAACCTTATCAGGACACCAGAAAGGGGAGTTATCCATTGTTTCTCGTCACAGTGACATATTTTCTACACGAAACAGCACCGAATCTGAAAGACGAAAAACCATACTCCGAGATTCTCCAGTGTTTTATACTCCTATATCGTCAGGAATCCGGCATCACCTTTAACCCTATGCGCTCGGGATGCAACGTTTCTTAGATGCTTCGAGGGCTGATACAAAAGGAAGCTTGCGTCGAGAGAAGAGTTTCTTTCTTCCTCGTAGAAGAAAACTGCTAGATAGCTAGAGGCCTTGCTTTCATGGAAGGTCCCGTGCAGAACGACAAACTCTCAAGGCTCGGGATGACTTCCAGACCAGAAGTTAATCCTCCGTTTGGTATATAAAAACTATGATAAAATCAGCCCTATCACCTCTCCAAGCTGTGCTTGTACATTTCCTCAATCTTTACTTCACAAGAAATCTTGCACATACTCATCTTCAATACAACCAACCCTTAATCCTGAAAACCAAGACAAGAGAGAAAAAGCTAGATGCAAGAGAATAGGAGTGAACGGATAACCAGCAGTCATGGCATCTGGCAAAATCGCTTACAGCCCCTTCAACGACAATACTCCAGTCATCCGCATCCGGATCGTCGCTCATTACAACCTCAGCCAAGTCTCCTCCGCCAGTTACGGCCACTGGTCCATCTACCTATGCAAGCCGAACAACCTTGGCTCCACGCGCATAAACATGCGAGCCATATGGGGTGAGCCAGAGGGTATCCTAGACTGGACCAAACACCCCTACGAGATGCCAATTCCTAAAACAATGCATTGGGACTGGCCTGTTTCTCGCGGCTCTGAAGTTCGACATTTTGCTAATTATATCACTACTCTGGGACGGGATAAGTATACATTTTCGGTGAATAATGGCGGGTGTCGGTATTGGATGTAAGTCGGGTTGGGTTCATTTCATCTATATCTCCTCTCTTTCCGTTCTCCAATTGTTCTATAGATATTCTTTGTCTTATTATTATTCTCGACATATTTGTTAACCATCTTCCTTTATAGAGCCACGGTTTTATCGGACTTCGCCAACGCTGAGTTCATTCAGTACAGCGTTTTTCAGACCATGCTTGGAAATCTAAGATATCGGTATTATGCAAACGCGCCCCCTGCCTGGATAGATATCATTCCAGGTACCTTTGCTAGTGGTTACGTGTTACCGGAATTCCGGTGAATTGAATCAGTTATCTGGGGCTTTTTCTTGTCGTTTGGCCTATCATAATAGTTTTCAAAGGCATATAATATAAATCAAGGTAGATATCGATTGCCCGGTGCGTATCACTTGATTTTGTATAGGATATATCATGTATAATATACAATCTCCCAGGTGTTGTATTGGCTGCCTGATTTAGAATAGGGATAGCATTCGCTCTCATATTCTCGAGCTGTTTTCCGGCCCATATAGTGATGTATAAATAGCGATCCAATGCAACAATTGTAAGTCTTCTTTCACCCGCATCGCCAAGTTCCGTACATAGATATTCGCTGTTGATTTCCCGGCCATTTCCGCTTACTTCGGAGGGCTTAGTGGCGAAGACCACTCCAAGCAAGTAGCCGTGAAATGAATGGGGTAACTGCATGAGGATTTCGCCTTGGAATTCATGTGAGGTCATATCGAGGTGAGTTAATAAACGCTAAACTAGAACCGGAGTTCCCCAATATGGCCTGTGTTGGCGTAGCAAGGTCATTGAAGAACGGTTGAATCCGAAGGTGATGACTTAGGCTGTGCTGGGCGCTGGAAGAGGAATGAAAAATCTCAGCACTAGAGTACTCAGCTGCATAGATATATGCATTTATGTCCCTTCTAGGATTCTCAAGGTAGCACACACAGCCCGGCAAATTTAGTATTTCGTAGCTTCTGTAGACACCCAACGTTAAAACCGTAGAGGGGCCGCGACTGGAAACGCGACTTCACTTCTCCTTCCAGCATGACAGGAGCATTTTTTTCCGATAACGTGAGTCCGAGGATTGCTCAGGGAACATACAGATTGGAGTTTGATTGCCAACTAAATGTTGAAACTCTGCTCTACCCACCACTGCCTTCTGACTATCTAAAACCCGAGAAATTCTCATTACATGTTTCGTTTGAGAGTGTGCGGAGGGAACGGAGGAGATAACGAAAGGGACAAAAAAGAAAGGGAAAAGCAAAAATAGTAATCGGAGGCGAGTCATGAGCGGAGGTTGGGTTGCAAGGCGAAAATATTGTAAAAGGAAAAAGGAGATTAAATTAAGATTCGCTATATATAGCACAACAGATTACAATGAAAATGTTCTCCCTAATAACCTCTTTGTACCCAAGATCGTGTTTTGTATCACCCCATGCCTTGGCCGATTTGATTTCGATGCAACCTGATTTTTGAAGAACGAAATGCACCGGATGGAACCGAAGGAAACTTTTGATAAATGATCAAAATGATTAAGTGACAAACAAAAGATGGTTTAGGAGAGTTGAACAGGGAAATTATAAATTGAGAGTGAACATGAAGTGCAGCAAAAGTCATTCCCGTTTTATTTTGTTCTAGAAATGGATGAAAGCAAAGGAGAAAAAAAAAAAAAAAAAGGACAACAGAAGAGAAAAGAAACTCAAGAAGACTCATTGACATGATTCCCATTCGTCCCATTACTCGCGACACCATTCTGTTTCGATGCGCGAACGGCTCTGCGAACGCGTACAGCCTCGGCAAGCTGCTCAAGCACATCAACGGTCATTTCCCAATTGATGCACGCATCAGTAATGCTGACACCCTTGACGAGCCCCGACGGCCCCTCGGGCGGCACCTTCTGGTTCCCCTCATAGATATTCGACTCGATCATCACACCAATGATAGCCTCCTCCCCATTCCGCAGCTGGTCACCAACGGACTGAGCAACAATGGGCTGGTTGAGATGGTTCTTCTTCGAGTTTCCGTGCGAGCAGTCCACCATGACGATCTCGCGCTGCTTCTTCTTGCGCAGATCCTGGCGCGCAGCCTCAATGCTCTCGGGGCCATAGTTAGTGCCCTTCGAGCCGCCGCGGAGGATCACGAAGCCGTGCTCGTTGCCGCTTGTCTTTGTGATGGCTGCTAACCCTTGCTTGGTGACACCGAGGAAATGGTGGGGATTTGCGGCGGCGCCAATGGCGTCGATGGCGACACCCAGGTTGCCGTCCGTGCCATTTTTGTAGCCAATGGGGAAGCTGAGGCCCGATGCAAGCTCCCGATGGAGTTGCGATTCGGTTGTTCGGGCGCCAATGGCGCCAAGGGAGATAAGGTCTGCGAGGAATTGGGGTGAGATTGTGTCCAGCATTTCGCTGGCGATGGGCATACCCATGCCGTTCAGGTCGGCGTAGAGCTTTCTTGAGATGCGTAGACCCTTGTTGATGTTGTAGGATTCATCGATATCTGGATCGTTGATCAGGCCCTTCCAGCCGACGGTGGTACGGGGCTTCTCGAGATAGGCGCGCATGATGATACAGAGATCCGCCTTCAGCTTGTCGGAGAGATTCTTCAATCGTCTGGCATATTCTAGGGCGGTATCTGGGTCGTGAATCGAGCAAGGACCACATATAACGAGGAGGCGGTCATCGCGCTGTTCAATGATTTCAATGGCCTCGTTGCGGCCGGATTGTACGGTTTTAATAGCTAATTCTGGCTGTATTGAGTGTCAGATATTGTCCAATCTTCCCATTGGACTTTCTTTTGCTCGATATATATGTTCTCGCAACATATAGTTCTATTGACATGCCATCCCCGTAGCTTCAGACAGGTGTGACTCACAGCACGGATTTCAGTCTGGAGGAATTGAGGAGAGAGGAGGGGGTCGTATCCCAGGACTAACGTATCGGTCAGTTCCATGATGGGATTTTTAAAGTTAATAGTATAAGATATAAAGCCTGACTCACTCCTGGTGTCTTCGTTGACTTCAACAGAGGCCTTTACCAGCGGCATTGTGAGGGTATGCGAATGGGTCACAGAAGAAGTAAAATTAGCGCTCTGGAGAGGGGGAGGGAGGGTCGGGGAGCGGCAGGGGTTTTTAAAACTCTGGCAGAAGTAATCAAACAGGGAGCACAAAAAAGAAAAGAAACACAGCTAACTTGCAGGGCAGCGTGGTATTTAAGAAGCAAAATGGTAAGACACAAAATTGAGCTTCGTTTCTTGTCCTGTCGTCACTCTTCCCTTGCTGCGGTGTTTGTTACGTAGAAGAAGTTCTGTTCTGGCCGTCGGTGATGCGGGACCGAATGACTCAGCGTTTTTTTTTTTTTTTTTTTTTCTTCTTTTTTTAGCCTCCAGTGTCACATCACGTGATATGCACCATCCCGCCATTTTTTTGCTGTTCGCGAGTACAAAAGCCTTTTCAGACCAGCCAGCTGCGAAACCCACACTCTCCGACTGGTCAGATTCACTCAGCGAGCAGAACGATCTTCAGGCCAGCCCCCCACAAAAGCCAGCCAGCCGTAAGAACTTAGACAAGTCCATAATTTCAAGTTGGGATGTGTCGGATCCGCATTTCTGATGGGTTGGGATAACAGGCAGCTGGACAAGGTTTGGGCTTGCAGTTGTCTCCCGGGATCCATCTGCCCATGCCATTGTTACAGAGCATTCAATTGCCTTTCTCAAAGGAGGTCTTCGGAGCTCAACGATTTCATTGGCTCTGCAGCTCAAGGTTGAAAATTTCTGGCGCCGTCCGATTCGCGATCCGCCTGCAGGATTGAGCTCGCCCTTCGTCAAACCAAAAATAGGGATCTCCTGGGGTGCCGGGTGTGGTGCTACGGCCCCACCACCGAGCAATCGCCGCCCCAGAATTGCCCCGGTAAGATTTATTACTGTCATGCTTGAGTTGTCGCTGGGCAGCCAATGGAACTAGCGCCCAACTTTGGGTTTTATGCTGATGCACCTTGCCCAGCTCCTTGATCTACAGGGACGACCACCCTCTTTTCCGGACTAGGGACATCCACATCTTCTTCTCAAAATTGGACTTCTCAGCACCCAGTTTAGGAGGCGGAGCTGTGTAGTTGCTTGTGGGTTGAATCATCCTGCAGTGATGGTGCCAGCTCGTCCAACTCTGCCTTCTTTGGTGGGTAATACAAAGCGATGAGGTGGGGTGTTGCGAAGAATGAACAGAAGCAGAGACAGCTAGCAAGCTGCAAACGAAGGATACGAATCAAGTAGCATGCCGTGTTTCGGTCGGCACTGCCGGAACCTTTCACTTGCATTTGTTTGGCTTCAAGGGTTTGGCAGGTCGATTTCGGAAATGTATCCGTTCGGGGAGCTATTGTGATTGATTGATTACTCGGTTATGATTTCCGACGGCGCCTCCATTTTAAAGAACACTTGCACAAGAAATTCAAGGCGTCAACCAGAGCGGTCCGTGAAGCCCACTTTTATAGGTACGTAGTACTAACTGAACCCGTCTACTTAGACTCTTCAGTTCATATGACTGTAACAGGAGGGCGTGTTTTATCGCCAGTCCGCAAATGAGTGTTTGATGATGTCAACTCAACCTACCAAGCCCCACATTGATGTACGACATTCGTTGCACTGGTTAAGAATAAAAGGTCAGTACGGGCCAGAATGCGATCTGATTCCCCAATCTTCAGCCTTGGGAAGTCATGAGGGCCAAATCGACGATCAACAGCTTCTTCCAATCAGCTTTTGCCCAAATCCAATTTCAGAGAGCTTGATAATTACATTACTCTTTTAGTTTGTTAATTGCTAGTTCGAGCCAATTATATGACTCTATCTTTCTAGGCGGTTTAAGTTTAATATACGGAGTAGATACTTTTCGGAAAGCAGCTGAGAGACAGTTTTGGCTCGGAAACTCAAGCGTCGACGGCAAAAACATTTGCGTGCCCGATGGAGGACAAACAAATCCCAACAGGAAAACAATGCCTTGTTTAGAACAATTCCTGGTGTATAACATGAAACCAATTCGTTAAGAAATAATACTTGAGCTAGTTCTTGAAAAATTTATGCACTAAGCTGAAAGTAGTTAAATCAAAACAAGACTTGAAAGTAAGCAATGGATTAATGTTTCTCCATCTCCGCCAGCCCCGGCTTTATTTTACACTAGTGACACATTAGGGCTAGCGTTTACTTTTGGCCGCAAGCCCATACAATATGATTGGTCAATTCTGACTTGAACCCCTTATGTAAGCGCCGATCATCAGCCCGACGCTTCAGGATGAGCCGCAACCGGTTCCAACAACATCCAAGCCGACATCTTCAAACAACTATCTCGAAGGATCAGACAGGAGCAGTATCATGCTCACTGAAACCTCACGTCATGTAGCGCTCATTTCTCCTTGGCTCGTCGTCGTTTGCCACGCTCATTAATACCCCGATCTTTGTTTGGATTGACTCCTTCTCTTCCTTTAACTCCCTACAGATACAGCGTCAAACAGATGTTGTTGGGACGTCTACCGCTCCCATACACTGTTCTATATTTTTCGAGCCTTCGTAGTCACTCCTGGTGAAGAGGTGGAAATGATGTCGGGCATATCTGCCAAACGCCAGCGGGAAGATGACTTTGAGAAGGCGGAGTTGGATTGGGAGCGGGGTCGCAAGGTATGTGTTGTTGGACACAAGCCCCATTTGCTTCTCTCTAAACACGGAGGGCTCTTCATTTAGAATATAACGACCATTCCCACTGTGGATTGTTCTTTAACTTTCTAATACTAATACTTCTCTCTAGAAACCGCGACCACTGCCATTCCGAACCTCTCTCACATCAAAACATACCACCCTATTCTCTCAAACTCACCACTTCTTCCCCTCCGCCGATATTTCTCCCCCAACCATCACCCCTGTCGAATCTTCAGATGATGACGATAATGGAACGGCATCATACATGGTCATGCCCCCTCAAGGCCAGATGGCGAAAAAAGATGACATACCATTCCTTACGATCAGAGTCCATCCATGCCACGACGCCGACTCAGATCTTGAGATGACCGACCCGCCCCGTACCTCTTCGAACCCCATTACCCCATACTCAGCGATCTTGTCACCAATCCCGCAGAGTTTGATTGTCCAATCTCTCAATATCAGTGGTGGCCGCACTGCAACACCCATTTATGGGCATTTCACTGCGAATATGAGCCTCAATACTATGAGAGAGGATTCCAATATTGCAAATGATACCTCTGCATTCATACCTTGCCCCGCTACCGTTTCCGCTAGAGCTGATGTCGTTATTCCTATTTCTTCTTCCTCTGCTAGTTCGTTACCAGCGTTGACTGATGGAGAGGACTGGTGGCGTCGTCGGAGACTTCCAAGCCCAATCAGCGAAGATGAAGTCTCTCCCACGACCACATTCCCCCCAATTAATCGGGACTTGAAATCCAATATCTCAACCACCACCGATGATACCTCAACATCTTCATTCCTCACTCTCCCCTGGGAACGGAAGCCCTCAGCCACGGCGGAACTGGAGCAACAGACTTGGGCACAGCACGACCCCTTAAATCACATCGCGGCACATGCTGCCGCTGCCGCTGGGAATAGTAAATTTCCCGAACGTAACCACCAACCCATGATCGCTCAAGATAACAGTTGGCAAATCGCAAGTAACCCAGCCATTCGTACTTGGACCCCCCAACAATCTACAACAACGACAACCACCTTTCCGCAATGCAACGGCATTTTCCCTTTCTCAAATAACGATATATTCCCTCTCCAGAGAGACAAAGCCAGCCGCCCGCCAAAAGTAAGCATTGCGATGGGTTACCGTGCTGATTGCGATAAGTGCCAGAGACGTGTGCCGGGGCATTATAGCCATATCATTCGTGGGTGATTTGGAACTTTCCTTTTTCCTTTGGGGAAAGAGGAGGGCGGCCTGATTTGTCCCTTTCTTTTTTCTTTCTCTTTGCTTCTTGCTTTTCCTTTTCTCCATGTATTAGAGATTAAAAGCTTTGATGATAAATGACCCCCTCTGTTTTACTTTTGTTTTTTTTTTTTTGGTTCTTTTCTATCATGATTTATGAAGTTGAGTATATTTGCTTGTCTGTTTCATTTCTTGTTTACAGCTCTCTATTCCCCCCATTTTGTAACAAGAGGTATCATAATTGTTTTTATATGCACATCAAAAAACCTGTGTTCCTGTTCCTGTGAGTGTCTATAACCTCTAGCTATACATGTATATAGTTCATGATGGTTTTTTTGATTCATGCACGCATGTGATGTTTTTATTTGTGATTCAGCTGATTGTAACTGTTATTTTATGAGTGAGCATAGCAGTGGATAGGATATATAAACAGGTATATATATACCTAAATGTAATCTGCAAATGAAGGAAATTTCTGAATCATCATTGAAAGTATCAGTTGTAGTAATTAATTAATTAAGTTAAGATTAATAAAATTGATAAGAAAGCTGAGGTAAAAAAGATGAATGTTAGAGACATTTGATGATAAAAACACTGTATGAGAATGATATATAAGAAAATGCCAACAGAAATGCGTAAGGGAAAACAGATAATCAATAAAACAGGCAGTGTACATCAAAATCCAACAATAATGGACCATAATCAATGCTCCAGTCCTTGCCCTCCATAATTCCATAATAAACCCACTTCATAAATATCATCGTCATGATCGTTACCGTTTGTAATATCAAAGTCAAAAACCTTCATACACCACCTCGTCTTCACAATAGAATGGCTTGTAGTCCCCCCTCCCCCGTCTCAATCCCCTGAACCCACCTCCCTAAACAAAGTCAACATCCACCTCCATCGCCACCTCCACCACCATCACCACCGCTATACCCGCCGCCCCCTCCTCCACCTCCGCCGTCGTACCTCGACTTCTTCTTCTTCTTCTTTTTGGCTGGCGGGTTGTATGTGATGGGGTCGCCTGTTTTCGGATCGTAACAGACAGGGCGGTAGGGCTCCGTGTTGTTATCTCTGTCCGAGGAGGAGAAGCACATCGTATATATATATATATATATTTTCCCTTCTTTTCTTTGCCTGGTGGTGTTTTTTTGTTGATGTAGGTTTGTTGTTTTTAGCCGAGGGGCTGAGGGGGAGTATTCTTGTGTTTTGGTTTGAGGGGCTGTTAGGTCTGGTGTAGACGGGCAAAAACAGGTTGAATGAAAAGTAAACTCTGAAGGTTGATATGTGGTTTTTGACATCGAATCACACAGAAGACGGATTTTGAAGACTTGTGCTAAGGAGACGAAGTAAACAACTCTGTAAGTCCTGGGGTGCATCCCATATATATATATAGATATGATATTTCAGCGACCAAGGGAGGTTGAGAGGGAAAATCCGCAAAACATCCCCTACTTGATTGATATATTTAGCATCGAGCTTCACAGCCCAAAAGAAAGAAAAGAGAAAGGAATTTTGCACTAACTACCTGTTAGTCCAGCTAGTTGTATTGTTTCTGCCTTGCTTTTCGTCTGTGTGACAAACATGACATGCATAGCCCCCTCTCAAGTTGAAAGATTTCTCACATCTTACTTCAATGAAGAAGAGTTTGGAGAAGTAGAATTTGCTTGTGAAGCAATATGAAAATGCTTATGATAGAAGAAATACGGATCTGCCATGGCCCTTGAGTGAATCGTATCCACCGGCTAGTCAGATGACAAGTAGGGGTACGCGACAAGCGTTGCGGCATCCCGGCCCTCCGGCCCTCGAGGCAGATCGACGACGCGATGGAGTCAGAAATATATTTTTAACATTGCAGCCTCATTCTTCTTCTTCCATGATGATAATTGATCCCTCCGAGGAGTCATTCTTTAAGCGGGGTATGCGCATAGAAGCCGCTTGCTGGATACAGCCTCGCTAAACACTTCGGCGGTTGCCTGGAAGACGTCGTCGTATCGAGACAGCCACAAAATAGAAAGGCAAACTCGGGAGGCAGACTCCGGGGAAAGTAATTCTCTGAGAGGGGCAAACCGCTTGAGTGTGAAGTTTCAGCAATTCTTTTTTATTCATGGATATTGTTTGATATTGAAAGAACCTAGGAAGGTTGTTGAGGTTGAAGGGGTGAAAACCGACAAAAAGGTAACTAAATATAGATCAGGGGCGGCGTGAGACGCGCTCTCATTTCTGCATGCCAGCTTCGATCGGCCCATGTTATTATTTCATTTGCTCATGACATCTCCGTGTATCTATTTCGTTAACTTATCACTGGAAGGACAAACTAGAAATGTCTAGAGATTTGCATCCGCCTTTTGCTGTCTTTTATTTCTTCCCCAGCCTCAAGATATCTCGGCCACATAGACACATATCGGGCGGGCTGGAAGGGAAACCGGGACGCTTGCTTATGGCTCCGAAGATGCGATGTACTGTGCACGACGAATATCCAATGATAGCAGTTGCCATAATGAGGATACATAAAACGTGATGCATACAATGGAGGTTTATCTTCTAGAAAAGAGGCACATTTTACCGGCAGAGAAGGTATGCCCTGAGGGCGATTGCCGAGATTTGAGCCGAAACTCTAATTCTCCACAACGATCCAGCTCACGTGGTTTTGCTATCACCAACATCTGAAGTTGATAATTTTCCCAACCAGATACCAACAAACGACAGCGAGGGATGGGATGGGTGAAGGATTGTAGTCATTGTGAGCGGGCCTTTGGATTGAGTGCGCTGATCCCTCTTAATGATGATTTCTTTGCTCCATCCATTAATGAATGAATGTTGGGTTGCATGAAACAAATCAGCCAGAGCAGCGGATGTTCTTGCTCTCGGTTGAGAGCTTAGTCGCCGTCGGCAGCCCGGCGGGGACCCGATCTACACAGCTGCAGGAGTTCAGCTGTTAGCAACACCAAATGATTTCTAGCTTTCCTTCCTCTCACTGGGCTATACATTATTTCTTCCTCCCAGCATCCAATTTTGATCCCCTCCGTGAACTACCTTGTTTTCCGTTTAATCGCAAATTGGCTTGAACAGAGTCACAGCCATCATGTCAGGAAGGGCTCAGAAAGGCCTGCGGCAAATCCTCCAAAAATCCCCCTCCGATGTCGTCATCCTCTCCTCATTGCGAACAGCAGTCACCCGGGCCAAAAAGGGCGGGTTTAAAGATGCCTGCCCCGAAGAACTGATTTCCCACATTCTTCGCGCCACACTCGCAGCAAACCCGAAGCTTGACCCCGCATTGATCGACGACGTAGCCATTGGAAGTGTTCTACAGGAGTTGGGTGGCACAAAGGCAGCTCGAATGGCTCAAATACACGCCGGCTTCCCTCACACCGTTCCTTTCCATACCGTCAGCAGGCAATGCAGCTCTGGATTGGCTGCTATCACTGCCATTGCACACTCGATTTCCGTGGGCGCGATATCAGTTGGAATTGGCGGGGGCATGGAATCTATGACGCGCAATTATGGTTCTCGGGGTCTTCCTACAGTTCTGTGGCCGGAGCTGCGCGACTCGCCGTCTAAGGATGCGAGAGATTGCATTATGCCCATGGGAATAACGTCCGAGAATGTTGCGGAGCGGTATGGAATATCGCGCAAGGACCAAGACTTATTTTCTGCGGAGTCTCATAAGAAAGCCGCAGCAGCGCAGGAGAAGGGACTATTCGGTACCGAAATTGTACCCGTTACGACTAAAATCTTCCCTGAAGGTCAGACGGATGGCCCGGCGACGGAAATCACAGTCACTAAAGATGACGGCGTCCGAGCGTCGATCTCTCTTGAGAAACTAGCTGCTCTTAAACCAGCGTTCTCAGCAACGGGATCAAGCACCGCTGGAAATAGTTCTCAGGTCAGCGATGGGGCCGCTGCCACGTTGCTTATGCGTCGCTCCACAGCAGCTGAACTTGGCCTCACGTCCAGCATCATCGGAAAATGGGTGTCCACGCAAGTAGCCGGCTGCGCTCCTGATGAGATGGGTATCGGTCCTTCTGTTGCTATCCCAAAAGTCCTCTCCCACACCGGTCTCTCGATTTCCGACATTGGAATCTGGGAAATCAATGAGGCTTTCGCTAGCCAGGCTGTGTACTGCATTCGGAAACTTGGCATCGATGAAAGTAAAGTTAATCCCAATGGCGGAGCAATTGCATTGGGGCACCCGCTGGGAGCAACGGGTGCGAGGCAGCTTGCGACTCTGCTTCCCGAGATGGAGAGGCATGGGGAGCAGGTTGGAGTAGTAAGTATGTGCATAGGAACCGGTATGGGGATGGCAAGTGTATTTGTCCGGGAATAGAGTTTTGGCTGGATTGTGTCATTTTCGGGTTATCCTTTTCATTTCAACCTTTTTCTTTGTATCCTGAGTTGCAGTCAATTTTCTTCACCTTGCGATACACCAGACTCCTACCCCGAGCAATCTGGATCTGTTGCTTGCTGGCTCTTGAAATGCGGTTAGATAGTCGGGAGGGAGTGTGCGACGCTATCAAAGTTCTATAGTTGGCGTAATAAAGAACATTGGTTGAAGACGTATGAAAGGATATATATAGTTCTATAATCATATTTAAGCAATTTACTTCCTTTATTACCGGATTATCCCTCCAATATCTTTCTGTAGTTTCGGTTCTTCCGCAGTAGAGTAGTGCTTTTAGGAGAGAATCACGTGATCCATGTCATTTTCAGCAGCTCCGTTTTCTCTTGCGGAGAAAAATCGAAAAAACCTTCAACGACGAAGTCAACGAAAACGCCAACAATGTCACTACCAGCACGCCTGTTGGCTCCATTAGAGGGGGCGCCCTCTAGAATATCTAGTGCGTTATACGTCTGTTCGACCTGCAGACGCCAATGCCTGCCCCAGTCCTTTCGATCTATCAACCACCGATTCCAATTTCGCCAGTACACCCCATCAAACAGCAGCCAAAGTAACGGTAACGGCGACCTTCCTGTGACTGAAAAACTGCGGAGGAAGCTATGGGGAACCGACAATCCCCCGGGAGTCAAGGATCCGTACGGAAGTGAAAGCCAGCTAGACTATGTCGAACCAGAAGAACTGTCAAAGGCGGACCCTTACCTCGCATCTGAGTTGGGAGAGGATGAGCAGGGAGTGCGTATTGCCACTGCTGAAGAAAAAGAACGAGCGGAATATAAGAGTGCGGATACCTGGGATGGTTTAAGACAGGTTGGCGCGGAGCAATGGTGGGAGAATCCTCCTAAGGCCGAGGATTTTTTTGCACCGTACGTTTACTATACATGTCAATCCCTCTATGCTATCGTCGTGTTCAACAATGCACACGGAGCGATGCATTTTCCACTTGCTTCTGAAGATCCCCTTCGGTCGAATGGGAAAGCATGCCTCCAGTTGTATTCTAACTGCCTCTTACAGATTTATGAGCATCGAGAAAGTCACCTCCCGCACCAAATTCTACCAAATCCTCCACCAAACCATGGTCGAAATACTCATCTTGAAAACCATGAACAAGCCTCTCACAGACGGCTGCAATATCATGGGCTACGAAGATGAGATCCTCTCTATCATTAACCAGGCGGAGGTGACGCCAACTACCGATTTCGCTACTGCATCCCTGACTTTCCCTAGCGAGGAAGCGAAGAAAACTATATATGAATGGTTTTCACAACTTTATGAACCAGTAGAAGATAGCGCTGAAGCGGGAGCGGAAGAAGTCGACTTTGCTGCGGAATCCACCCAGGCGGACGAGACTCTGCCTGAGGAGGCCAGACAAGACGAAATGGATACTAATGACCCAAGACCCTACCGTCCTACGAATCTCGGGTTCCTCGGCATGCCTCTTTCAGACCCCGAGTTCAAATTTGCTGTAAGCTCGTCCATCTCCCGGCTGTTGTAAATAATACATATGACAATCACAGGGATTTATTCTCGTCCCCTCCTTTTTCGCCCCTCCTCATCTCCCCACCCAACATTAGCAGAACTGACACAAAAACAAAACAAAAATAGTATCTCAAACGCGCCAGCCAATTAGCCGGCTACCGCATCCCAGACCCAGAAGTGGCCAAAATCACCAAACCATCACGACTTATGAGCTTCCTCTCTGAAGTCTCGAAGCCGAAGCCGAAGAAGCTGGCAGAGCACCTCCTTAAGGATAAACGTCTTACCAGCCTGCCCAACGTCAAGATCATGGATAGGAGATACACGCCGATCGATAAGGAGAAGGAGATTGGGCGCTGGAAGATTATTGAGGAGGAGTTGACGAGGAGGGGTTTGCCGGTTACTGGTCGGGCGAGGGCTTGAGGGACGTGGTGATGAGAAAGAGAGCGGTGAAGATTGGCGGGTTTGGTTAATCCGTTGGCTATTAAGGGGAACCTGATCATAGATTGATTGGAGTGCGGTGATGTGAAGAGTGGCGGGGAATTGTGTACCACTTTTCAGTTGGCGGGCGCATGTAGACTATTGCTTTGGATTTGTTCTATCTACGTTCGGAACTTCCTGCTTTTCCTTTCTGGTTATTTTTTTTGTCATGCTAATCTGTATGAATATATCTGTAGGTCTGGTTTAAAAACTTAGAAGTTGTCTATGAACTATGAAATGGGTGAAAGCGCTTGCGCACTTTGAGTATTTCTTACCACGCTCGCTATATTCTAGGGGAATAATTACAGCTTCACTCAAGAGTCCAAAAATTCAACTCAAAGATGGTTATTCAATATATTGAATTCTATCTGTCCAATCCTACAAAGAACATAACATGGACCACAGTATCGGCTCCGCACAAGTTTCCCACTGTTGCCTGCCCGTTGTTGAGTTTGATTCCTTTCCGTATACTGTTTATTCATGACACTCTAAGCCCACCGCAATTTTGTTGGACAAGCATTTCAAAAGTTCGCACGCCATTTACAAGCCACATTGCGGTCGTAATCGCATGGTGCTGCTAGCCGTACAAATTCATATGCGAATGCAGTGTCAGAAAGACGGGTAATGCTGGTATGAGAGGGTTTCCACAGCTCAGGTTCCGCAAAATTCGGCTCCGCCCCCGGAAATTACAGATGTCGACTTTCCGAACCTCTGCAACTGCTAGAGAGACCATTTATAAAGTTTCTCTCTAATGTCACCGTCAAACCGTCACAAGAAGGTTTGTTTTGTCTCTCGAAGAGCCCGACATCTAGACCTTATATAGAGTGCTGATGGCTGCTAGATGATATCACCAGTCACTTGTATTTATGTAGCCGACGGGCTAAGACCCAGATTAACTTCGACGGGACAATCGTGGATCTTGCTACAAATTTATGAACGAAGGGCGATATGTTTTTCTTAAGCGTGGTGGGCCATCCAAAGCGCCGAAGCTTGGAATGTAGTGTGTGGCCCATGCAGTTTTCTGAGGCTCAAGCTCAAATACATCAGCACGGGCAGGAGTTGAGGAAACCCGATTGGTGCTGCTGGTGCAGGTGGTAGTCTTCTGGCAAGTGTGGAGTGACCGGTTGAAGGTTTGAACGTGTTTCAGAACCTCATCTTTTCGCCCCTGCTGGTATTGAATAGCCTCTGGTCATGAAATCTGTGTCCTTTCCGCGCTCTCTCGTTGAGTCGGATGTGAAGAGGCTTCGTATGGTTTCGTTGTCGCCCATCATTTTTCGGCGTTTATTGCGTTCCCTCTCTTCCTCTAGTACTCGTGCTGTTAATCTCGCTGTTGCAGCGTTCTTAATTCCCGAAGGTACTGGTGTGGAGGTCCTGCTATCAGGCCTAATATTAGGTGCAGATGGAGGTTTGGCTGTATTTGTTGTGCCATCGACGCCAGGACGTGCGTCAAAATCGGTAGCTGTGGCACCCGACTCAGCGCTACTCCCGTTCTTCTTCCGTTTCTTTTTAGAGCCAGGGGCCTTCTTAAGTGAGTGTGTCAAACCCCGGCTATTTAAATCTTGCACACGAGATATCAACCGCTTCTTTTCAGCGTCTTGTGACGGGAGAATTGGAATGATGTTCTCGAGAAGGTAGGGCTCGTTACACTAAAAAATCTCATAGGTTAATGACCGTCTAGGAGAACAGGAAAAAAAAAAAAGAAAAAGGATAACATATATACGAACCTGTAAGCAGTTGTCGGATTTCATTTCTCGGATCGCCTCTTCGGAGAACGCATGGCCGCAGGGAACAATGTATACAGCCTTCACATTTGGACCCAGCTCTTTACGAGTGATCGGGCAGACCTTGCGCTTTTTACCGTTTGCATCATCGTCGATCTCGAACTTTACCTCAACAATATCGCGGAGTCCCTTGACTCTTCCTTTCAATATCTCTTCGCAGTCGTCTTTCGAGCTGATATCTTCGGCGTCATCTGCTGGCATGAGGAACTTTAATATAGCGTCCTTGTTATAAAGATTTCCAGCGGAATCGGATACTATAGGCGCAAGTAGCTGTTTATGCGAGAGAGGACAAGTCGACCAGTAATGCTCTAAGTGTTCGCGTAGGGTTTCTTTAAGCTCAGCGGCTGTGGGGTTGCGAGCGGCAGACTTGACCAGTTCGCATCGCTTCGGAATACTATATGCGAGTAAGAATATGAAGTCTCTTTCTGGGCGCATGCAAACTTACCTCCCGCCATCATTACCCATGATTTCTAGCTTGGTTATGATTCTCCAGTAGCAATGAAATAGTTGGCGGTTGACGTTGGGAAGAGTTCGCGATTTCGGCGGCAAATTCAAGACACCGGTTGGGTAGAGGGAGATCGGCTAATAGTTTTTAAGCTCCGAGAACTAATAGTTATTGATTAATAATGTTATTATATATGACTAAGCCGCCAAGCATGTATGTGATAGGCCAGAAGTGTGAAGAGCTCCAACTTGGTCTGATATCAACGACAGTGTTGGAACCGTGAGCGGCTTCACAGTAGACCCAATGCTGCCATCATGAAACACTCCGGCAATCTCTTCGTTGCTTTGGGCGTAACCATATGTTCTGCCATTGGTGTGGTGGGAAGTGATGCCTCCGCACGCCCTCGAGGAGTAGGTCCTGAGTGTAAGTGTATACAAGACTGTGCTTGAATTGCCTGCAGCTATATTTCACTTCTCTTCACAAACTATGACACTCCACATTACAATTAGTTAGCTAACATTTGATTAACTAAAAACACTAGTTGCCAAATACTACAAGGACACTTCCACATTCGCCTGCATTTCCAACCCCTCTGTTCAAATCCCCTTCTCCACAGTGAACGATGATTACTGCGACTGTCCTGATGGCAGTGACGAACCGGGCACCTCAGCATGCGCCTATATATCAAATTTCTCTCCATCTGGCCTTAGAGACGATGGGGCCAATCGTGCCCCAGCTCTCCCCGGTTTCTACTGCATAAATAAAGGCCACAGACCATCATTCATATCATTCCAGCGAGTCAATGATGGCGTTTGCGACTATGACGTCTGCTGCGACGGTAGCGATGAATGGGCCCGGGTTGGTGGTGTAAAATGCGAAAACAGGTGCAAGGAGATTGGAAAGGAATGGCGAAAGAATGAAGAAAAGAGACAAAAATCTCTGACTGCTGCAGTGAGGAAGAGGGGAGAGCTTGTTAAAGCTGCAGCTAGATTACGAAAGGAGGTAGAAGATCGCATCTCAGATCTTGAGGTGGAAATTAAAGCTTCAGAGATGAAGGTGCAGAACCTCAAAGACGCGCTCGAAGCAGTCCGGGCCAAGGAAAGGGGTAAAGTGGTGAAGGGGCAAAAGAAGGGCAAAGTTAACGTTCTTGCTGGACTGGCCAAGGAGAGGGTTGAAGAGTTGCGAGGAGCATTGGTGGAGGTTCTCCGTGAAAGGGATGAGAATTTGGCGCGAGTTAACCAACTTGAGGCTATCCTATCAAAATTCAAGGAAGAATACAATCCCAACTTTAACGATGAAGGAGTAAAGCGTGCTGTCCGCGCCTGGGAGGATTACGCTGCGCGTGACGACAAAGGTAGCCACGGTGACGAAACTCTTAATCGAGACTTGGATGAAATATGCAAGCCGGACAGTGAAAATTCAGGTATCAACTGGGATCATTGGGAAAATGAACAAGATGGGGAGTCTGAAATTAGCCTTCGTGAGTTTCTTTTTATTTTCATCTATTTTTGAAGCATCCTGTTCTATTTAAAGCCACCGGATGATGCTAATACAAGTTCTCCAGTCTACAAAGTCGCCGCCTATTTTCCCGATTCATTGGTTAACTACTTGGAAGACAAAGCTCTCCAACTCCGGTCGATTTTGGTATCGAATGGCATCGTTGCCGATACCAGTAGCGACTCAGATGCCACAGAGCCCAGAGCCGTGACAGAAGCCCGGAATGCGGTTTCCGCTGAAGAATCATCCTTGAATAATATTCGCTCTCAGCTAGACGACCACAAATTAGACCTGGACAAGGACTATGGACGGGATTCCGTATTTCGCTCGATGAAAGGCTCATGCATATCTAAAGACTCGGGTGAATATACATATGAACTCTGTTGGCTGGAGAAAACCAAGCAGATACCCAAAAAAGGTGGATCCTACACGACTATGGGCACGTTTTCTGCGTTTACAACCGTGACTGTCGACGAGCAGAACGCAGCTGGCAAAGTCGTTCCTCAGGAAAAGATAGCTCTGGAATACACCAATGGACAAACATGCTGGAACGGCCCTGCGCGTTCAACAAAGATTGTTTTGGAGTGTGGAGAGCAGGATGAGATCTCGAAAGTCACGGAAGACGAAAAATGTGTATACAGTATGTTTGTGACGACCCCAGCGGCCTGTGAAGGACCTTCCAGGAACGGAAATAACGTCCGTGATGGTCGCAAAGATGAGCTTTGAAGGATTGAGCGTACAGCAGAATGGTTTGATAGTGCTTGGTTAGTTACACTGGATTGTTACAAACTTGACAGGATTCCATTCTTCTCTTTTCTTCCTTTTCTTTGCTTCTCCTTTCTGCTTCTTGCCATGCTGAACACAATTTCAAACATAGAATATATCGTCTTATGATTACCCCTTTTCTCCATCATCTGTTTTTGGGTCATTTTATCCTGAATTTTTCCATTCCTCGCCTCAGCTATATTGTACTCCCATTTGGGAATATTCCGCTACTTTTGACTTCCTGTGCGTGTTTTGCCTTTCTTCTCGGGCTACCTATGTGTTCAGTTTGATATACTGTACATCACAGTATTGCTATGGAAAAATGTACGACTTACAACAACACGCCAGGGGCAAAAACACTACCGATTCCACCATCCCACATGAAAATAAGGGGGGAAAAAAGCATCTTCCCACTCAAAGCCTCTTCCGTAACTAACTTACTCGAAATGTTCAATCTGATTGAGACCTCATCATGCCAATAGACCTTGTCAGCAGAATTCACCTATATTAGCGAACTTATCGTTTAATATGCAGGACCAACGACAAGGATAAAGTGAGAAAACGAAGCGAACAATGTATGGAATCAACTAATCAACCGTCCTGGCGTCTCGCTTTTCAACATTCTGTTTCTCTTTGCAGAATCCTGCCTCGGACAAGGGTCTGTCTCTCGCCAAGTACCGTATATGCTAATGTCGAAGTTAAAAATTTTTGGTATATTTTTTGTCTCCTATTCTGATTTTTCTCTCTATTCTTTTACGTGTTTGAAGCCTTTTTCTTTTTATTTCTTTTGTCCCCTTTTTCACTCACCTTCCTGACGCCCTATCCGCCCAAATGCGGTCTCCTCAGACCCAAAACATGATCCTTGAACTTTCTACAGCTGTGAAACTGTTGGGGTTTAGCAGAAGGAAAAGAAGTGATTTTTTCCTCGCACTTGCGGATTGAAAATGTCATGGTTTTGATACTCCCAAGGAAGGGATAGGTGGCGGGTACTCTCATCCCCATGCATGCCTTGCTCGTATTTACATGCCTTGTCAGTCTAACGCCCGTTGTGTGGCCCTGATTCTATTCTAAACTCGATCTTTTGCGCTCATGTTACCCCACACTCCCCCCCTCCGGGCCCTACCCCTGCCCTCCTACCTACTCCAATCCCAACCCAAGCACGTCGCTATATCGACGATTCAAGGCTCAACAATAACACCAATAAAGTAGAGTTACTGGCATTCACTAGATAACGTAATAATTTGACTCAGAACGAGGACGAGGGTGCGCATCATATACACCACTATCGTAGCGACGTCGGGGCTAGGGTATATTTTGTTTTCTTTATATTGCCCCTCCCCCCACGCTCCAACCCACTAGTAGGTCCTAGGCCTTTGGTCTTAAGCAGGGGGAGATTAGTGATAACAGAAATCACCACTGCTTAGATTTGGAAGTCCCCGGTTATTAGATGGTTAGATTCGACTTTGAGCAAGGTTCGGTGTGGATATTATTGGTTCCTATTCTTTGGTGATGATTGGGGGTAGCTGAAGAAGAGCAAAAGAGTGGTGCTCATCCCACGAAACTCTCGTGTATGACCCGCTGTATCATGAGCTCTGACAAGATCTACATATCTATTTATCCAGCGCCGGAAGGGCAGGGAATGTGACGTGGAAAATAACCGAGATGCTCAAAGAAGGTTGCGTGCTTGAGCCGACCTTTCAGCCCTTGTTGTATTCTAATTTAGGCTGATTTGCGGGGGAAGAAAAGTACCCCGATAATCTATAATGGATGAAGATTAAAGGTTGTTTCAGAGTATGTAACTAATAGTAGTTGAGATCTCATTGTTTTAATGAAAGTGTATCTCTGCAACTTCGCTACGTCTCAGTACCAACACAGCCCAGACACCAACATGCCCACTTCTTTGCTCCTCAGAACTTCCCTGGCCCATTTCGGAAAAGGACTGGGTAAGCTCAAATAACATAAAAAATAACAACAATAACATACGTCGAATTGAAGGAACAAAGGAAAGCAAGAAATGCTAATTTCCGAGAGCTAGAGGTATTTCTTCCGTAGTTTGAACATATTTTCCTCCTCTAATTCGCGGTCACGAATCCAAGTGGAGTGGACGCAGGTGGAAACGTTTAGGATAGAGCGCCTTTCCCGTCCTACGGTAGTGGTGGACTGAATGAACGTATCGAGTAGGGAGAGTTCGGATACGTTAAGGTACCTTTTCAGCGGCAGGGAATGGCGGTGTATAAGGGAAGAGAAAGGCGGAAGAGAGAGGCTAGCTCATCGGGAGCTGCTTAGTGCTGTTAAAATGGTCAGATGAGTGTACAAAAGAGTAAACCCTGTTTTTATATCAACTCACAGAGCAGCTGGTGCAGCTGCAGGAGTTGCAGTCGCCGGCACAGCAGTTGCAGTTGCAGGGAGACATTTTTGGATGGGTAGATGGGTGATGAATTTGTTTTGAAATTCGGTAAGATTTTTGGATTGCCTTTAAATGTATTATTGTCAACGAAGCTAGTCTTGAGAATAGTGAAGGGAAAGATTTCTAGAGGAAGAGGGGGAAACGAACCGCTTTTTTATATTCCAGGTGCCCTTCCCTTTCCATATGTTTCGCCCACCTGATTGCACGTGCGCGGACCCAACCGGACGCTAGCGGGGCGGAGAAGAGGTGTGATGATGCAGACTGTGGTAAACAACCCTTCTTCAGGCTGCTTGGGTTATAATTTATAAATCACGATGAGAGAAAGACTGTTGGGAATGGTAAGTGTGGGGAGAGATTTGCTGGCCCCTGTTCCTTGTCTCACCATTGCCTCACCGTTGCCTGCGCTCATTGGAAATGATATCGAATTAAAATGCCTCCAAGGGGAGGGAATCAAAAAGCAAAAAGTTGATGTGTGGAGTTTCGGCCTTCCAACTTCCACAATATCACATTTCTATTTCCCGGTACCGCTGAGATCATGAGCCGCCCACTTTGAACAGTGCCGAATGCAATTCTAGTGCTTCCACGCCACTAGGTTCCAACTCCCTCTCTGAGAGTCTGTGCAGCGCCCACACCTTCGTTTAGATCCTAGGGAATCAAAAGGATGAATCAGAAATCAAGATATTTAATTTTACCTGGCAGGCCCCTGTAGGTTAGCGCTCCATGCTGGATTCTGACGATTCTCCATGCTAGTAGGCATATTTCTAGCATCCCGTGATGGGAAATAGCATCGCAATTCCTATCGCGTGTCAACCAGGCTAAGCGAGCAAAAAACAGCGCATTTTCCGCAAACAGCCCACGGAGTGGGACTTGTGATCCACGTTTAGGCCTCCATCTCCCAAATGCTTATTGGGCTGCCGGGAGGTTGAGATTGGCATCGGAATACCATTATCTCATAGCCCAATGAGAGTACACCGAAGAGGAGAACCAGAAGCGTTGGTTGGGATGTCACATCCGTGGCGGGACAGGGTCTGCTTTGACAAAACTAGGTGCTTCTCCTTTTATCCGGGCCATTTACGATTGTGTGTGGCATAACCGGGCTGGTAGCTTGGAGAGTGATGTCGTTTGATGCTGAATGATGTCAGTCCAGCCCGGGCAAGTTTACCAAGAGTGTTCGCATATGCTTATATAAGCAGACTTCCTCGATCAACCCCCCTTCCTTCGTTCCAGCAAGCTCCCGTCAAAAACTTGAAACACACTCTCTCTGCACACGACTTATTACAGACCCTCTAGAGAGCTCCACCTGTGTCGTGGCAGCCTGCAGCTGCGGAATCGAGAAGAAGCTTTGGCATGCACAAGTCCAAAAAGGCGTCCGCCCTGGGAGCCCCTCAAGTCGCCGCTATTGGCCATATTATTCGAGCCGTTTTGCCTGTTGACGAGGCGTATTTTCTTTTGAGTACTCCCGTTGGGAATTCTCGATATTTCTGATGCTTGTATGGGCAATTCAAGCATTACTAAATCTGTGATGGATGATGATTTCATATCTTTTTCGACCAAGGAACTTCCTGCCCCCCTGTTCTTTATCCGCTTAAAACATCAAGCTGTGTAAATACGTGGCACACTTGAGTCCACTTCTCTCGCTTGCCGTGGTTTCCCGGCCATTGGCAGTTAATGGGGCCGCGAACCACCGCCCTGGCCTTGAAGGATTGTTTTGAAGCCTCCCCACAATGACTTGGAGGGAAATTGACTGAAAATATCAACGGATCAGGGAGTAGATTATCATGAAAAGGCCCAAATCTTTGCATTTTACTTGGCCAACAATGTTGGGTTTGCATGCGAATGTCAAGAACAGTTGACATAAGGGACTTCGAAATCAGCTTGTGTTAATCATTTTATTGAAAGCTAAAGCCGTTTTTACGGATCATGCTTGGGTTGAAATCCCATCAAACCAACTATCCCCATGTCATCCTGCAGGCCTCTCACCAATCCAGCGTCCCTTCAATAACTGTCTCTCCAGCCTCTATCGCAGCATTTTCGTCCAAACCCACAGACAACTTCTCATAAATCTTCTTCGTGACCTCATTATGCAGCTCCATCATCGCGTCATCGATATGCTCCTTGGGAGTACCAACAAGGTGCGTTCGGAAGGTTCCAGCGTCCGCGTCTGTCGTTACAAGAATTGCATTGCTTGCTTGAATGTTTCCGTACATGCCGAGGAACACGAGCCCGGTTATGATCTCAAACTTCTTCTCTGGGCCATAGAGGAATTTGGCATTTGCTTCATAATTCAAGAGTTAGTAGTCTGTAAAGCAATCGGTGACGCACGAGGTGGCTTCCAAAGGGTGCGATGAACTCACCAAGAATTTGCGTCCGAAGATATGCAGCACTCATGCTGGATGAAGACCCGATTTATCTCGAGGGATATAGGTATGCGAATCTGGGAAATTGATATTTTGAAGGCGGTTGCTTTAAATTGACGTCCTCCCAGGAAAGGGCTGATTCCACCCTGTTTAAATATCCATGAGATCGCTCCAGACTCCAACTCTTCGATTTTTAGAACGTATGGGGTTCGTTTAGTTCCAGCACTATCGGAGAGAGTCAATCCTTCTCAAGCCTTCGGTCAGAGAGCTCATATCTTACACGGCGAGGCTCTGCTGTTGAGGAATCCACTATCACGAACTTGGGGTTTGAAATGTGCGAAGATTTGGCAGCGGACCTCCGTTGTCAAATATTCTAGTGCAGAAACCTCGTGTTTCCACGGGCCTTCATCTTGTCACCAATGAACATGACTCCAGAGCTCACCGCTTCCCTTGTTCATCCATATCGAGAACTGAGGAATCTACAGTTCCGAGGCTGAATGGCTAGACTTGTTTTTATATTTTTAGCACTACAAGCCACCGATCTTCTTCTAGCGGATGAGTCCTTGAGGAACGGAATCAATGAAGGAGAAAATAAAATGCTAACACTGATATGAGCCCATGCTGGTGCTGGTGTTGCCCCAACAGCAAAGCCAAAGCCACGCCAACGGTCACGTGGATTGGAGAATTGTGTTGGGGGTCCCGCGGTTGGTCGGCCCTTCTACCAGCAGTGCGCTGGTGGTGACTGAGCTCTTTTGCCCCAGTAGCCTACAGGTTATGAGACTGTTAAGCGTGAGCCCCACTGTGATCAACATGTATGAGTTCAATCCCAGAATGAACTTAAAAATTCCTAACAAATACTCTGGACATTTTAACAGTGTTAAGAGACATCTCAGAAGTGTGCTCTAGAAGTTCTGTGAGCTCTAAAACTGACTGAGTTCACTATTAAAAAGAAGCCATTGTGAGAAGATCACTGAAGAGAGTTACTAAGAGAAAGTACTGTACTCTGTAATAGCTGATCTGAGAGAAGATGTTAAGAGTTCTGCAGTTAATCAGCTCTTCTATCAGCAGTATACTGATGATAACTGAGCTCTTTTACCTCAGTAGTCTACAGATTATGAGACTGTTAAGTGTGAGTCTCACTATGATCAACATGCATGAGTTCAATCTCAGAATAAACTTAAAAATTTCTAATAAATACTCTGAACATTTTAACAGTGTTAAGAGACATTTTAGAAGTATGTCTTAGAAGTTTCATAAGCTCTAGAACTGACTGAGTTCACTATTAAAAGAAGTTATTATAAGAAGTTACTAAAGAGAGTTACTGAGAGAAAGTACTATACTCTGTAATAGCTGATTTAAGAAGAAATATTAAGAGTTCTGTGATTAATTAACTCTTCTATCAGCAGTGTACTAATAATAACTAAGCTCTTTTATCTTAGTAGTCTATAAATTATTAATGATTACTATATCTACTATTTATAATTACTACATCTACTGTTAATAATTACTACATCTACTCTAATCACGTGTTACTTCAATCTATTTAGTGTAACTCACATAGTTAGATTATAATATAATAATATTATTCTTTAAGAAATTATAAAACTCTTTATAAGTAATAAATAACTGTAATAATATGCTAAATTAATATCTTTATATATTATTATAAGCATGTCTAAATAATTTATTAATTAATTAAACTTATAATTAGTTTAAGATTTAGAAAGATATCTGACTTAATAAAAAAATACATATTTTCAAGATAAAGAAATGAGAAAATATCAGAGTAGTAAATACAAGATTATAGATTACTATTAATATTAATAATAAATTAAAAGACAGCTTCTGAAATATTTAAGTCAGATAAAACTATTACAGAGAAACAGTTTAATAAGTTTAATAAATATAAAGACTTAGTTAAAGATATCAGTGAGATATCAGATAATATAGAGAGCTTAAGTAACTGAAATAATAATAGCTTAGTAAGTAAGAAGACTTATATAAAACTAGAAATTACAAGACTTCAGTATAAGATTGAGTAAATAAAGATCAGTAGAGATGACTCTATAAATAATAAAATAAAAGCAGATCTGATAGAATATCTTTAATAGAAAGAGAAGATATCTATTATAATAAAAGTTTTTAAAGAATTCAGAAGCTAAGTAAGACTTATTAAAAAATTAATAGTTCTTATTAAATTTATTAACTACTTAATATAAAGAGAGGAAATTCTTTTAACTACAGAACAGTCTAAAACTGATAATATTCTTAAAGATAATAATCTTAATAAGAATGTTACTATAAATATACAATATTTCTGCCCTGGTGACTGAATAGTTAATACAGTTATCTGATAGTGCCTTGATATGAGAAATCAAGGCATGTGGGTTTGAAACCCGCAGGGAATACATTAAATTCAGAACTCAAGCATCTCAGATAAACTGGCCGCTGGGACTATGAATTTCACATTTGATCTCATTTGATCTGGTCTCATACATTTCTTGGCGTGAATCCCGCTGGGACTGACTATCAAAAAAACATGTAAAGTGACTATATATCAGATCTTAAAATGAAATCATGACTTGAAAAAAATGAGAAAGTGATCTCATTTGGTCTCATTTAGTCTCATTCTTAGCATAAAGTTACTATTTTTAGACATTTTAAGGTTTTTTTTAGACTATTTTTAATTTTTTAAAAAGTAACACTTTTTGATAACACTCAAATGAGATTTAAAGTCATTTAAAGCAATAAAAATAATTTAAATTGAGAAGTGAAAATCATGGTCTCATTTGAAAAATGTGACAAGAGTAGACAGTAAGTCTCACTGAAACAGTATGAGACTACTATCTAATGTTAAAACTGTGTAATGGGATCAGTTGAATTGGTAATGAAACTATCAAAAAATCTGGTCCTGGTCTCAGACACGGTCACACGGTCAGTTTAATCTCAGGTTTCTAATAAATACAGAGATATACAAATTACTTCAATGAATCACTCTATGTTTCTGAGCTGGGAAGTTATTATCACATGTATTTAATTGTTACTTCTTTGTATTTTTCTATGTTCTTATTATCTTGATGTGATCTTAATATCTGTATTTCCTTCTGTATAATTAACACTTGACCTGTATTTAACATCACGCAAGGACTCATCATAAGCTCCGCTTGCATATAAGTGTAATGAAAGAATAATAATAATAATAATAATAATAATAATATAATATTTCTGAAAAGAATATAATCTTTAATTATATAATTATATATAATCTGCAATTACTCTGCAGATCAAAACTTATTTTACTATACTTAAGAAGTTTAAATTATCAGCTTATACTTTATAAACTATTATAGAGAATAACTTTTCTGAGAAGCCTGCTATATACAGAACTTGTTTATTTAAAGAGCTTATTAAAATAATTTTTAAAAGTAAAGAATCTAACAGAGCTTTTATTAAATAATTAATTACTATAAGAACTGACTACATACATCTAGAATATAAGATCTCAGATGTCATGTTTTTCAACAGACTACTTACAGAAGTTAATAGAGATTAAGTCTCATTTATAAGAAATTAAATAAATCAAATTGATAAGAATAATACTCAACTCTTAAAGAATGATTTTATAAGCCTGTGTTATAATATTCTTTTACAGCTCTCTACTGCTAATAAGATAAGTACTGATATATCTAAAAACTCTATCAACAACGCGCAAGACAAGAATAAGAAAGATAAGAATAAAGAGAAAGATAAGAATAAAAATGTTAAATTTAAATCTGAATATAGAGATAATAATATAAAGACATGTCATATACTATTATTATCAAAAGATTAATTATATTCAGACTGACTGTTGAAAGAAATTCTTTAAGAAACATTCTTTGAATTTGAATTTCAATATCAATAGAAATAAGAATAAAGATAAGAATGCAGAGAATATAGATTTAACTTCTGTTTATAATATTATAAAGTAAGTATTTTATATTAAAGAAAAAATCTATATAAGTAATTAGATAGAAAAAGATATCTAAATTCTAGACTCTGAATCAGATACTCATATCATATCTCACAGAGATCTTATTATAGTAAAATCTCAGAAGATGAAAGTAATGTTGAAAATAATAGATAAAACAGTGATCTCTGCTACAGCTATAGAAGATACAAAGATTTCAGTGAAAGAAGTGAATATACTGTTAAGTAATATCTACTATATTCTGAAGTTAGAAGTGAATCTTATGAGTATAAGTAAGCTTATACATCAGAGTTATATCTATAAGCAGTTAATATATAAGAATAATTATACTATGTTTATTATATCTTCTGACTGTATATTCTCATTTATAGCAAGATTAAATAAGAATGATATCTATAAGATGAAAAGACTGATTATATACAGAGACTTAATTTGATTTATTATACTCAATGATGATTTTAAACCTGTAAATACATTATAAGTAAAAGATGACACAATATTAACACTATCTGATAGAAATAATATAAAGATTATAGAACTTGTAATAATGTAATAATATTAAAAGCTAGAACATTTAAAGTCTGTGAATATTATAAAAATAATGATAGATTCATATTTAGAGATAAGAATTATTAATTAATGAGCTTTATCATTCTGCAAAGTCTATATTCAGATAAAAATAATACATTCTGTGATAAGCTATATCTGATCAATTATATAGACTATTTCATTACACTTCACAGATTTCACTGAAAGCTTCAATTCTCAGTCACTGATTCTCAGTTAAAAAACTCATGAAATTTCTATTCTTTCACTCTGAAGCTTTATGTGACGGGCTGCGCCTGATCAATGATATAGACTATTTCATTACACTTCACAGATTTCAATCACTTCATTCTCAAACATATACACTTCAATTCTCAGTCATTCTTGATCACTGATTCTCAGCCGTCATGAACGCGTATAGATTCTTCCGCTCTGAAGCTTCATTATATACATCATTATATACACATATAAATATTCACTTCAATCACTGATTCTTACACTTTCTCTTTCTTTTC